AGTTTATTGATTCTGTTTTGTATTTATGAAGAAAATGAACCTGGAAAACTGTCAATTGATCTGTGTATATTTAGCACATTAATGCTCACTGTAAAATTTAGTACTACTTTTTTCTTTTTCTCTTTTTTTTTTTAATCAAATCACCGCAAGCAAAGGGGGCTACTAGGAGTGAAAGAGAAAGAAACGACTTTAGAAGGAACAGGGGAATAGATAAACCTGTATTCTGTAATTAGAGATTTATTAAAAAAAAAAAAAAAAAACAACAACAAAAGAAACAGTTAATTAATAGGCATTATCCCCAAAATGTGTTAATTATAATTCCTGTGTTTTTTTGTTTGTGTGTGTGAAGTAGAAAATGTTTTTGTTTTTTATAATTTGAGCTCTGGTGAACAAATTCTCTTTCTTGTGTTTTAAAGTATCATAATTGGCAATTGATGATTAGTATGATCAGATATTATTTTCCCTCTTTCCACATCTTGGAACACCTTCAGTGTCTTTAATGCCAAATTGAAAATAACATCTCAAAATAGCTGGAATTTCCACTCTATTTGCATCTGCATTATAACATCTGAAGCAAAAAGTACATTTGAATAGTATTATTAATTTAAAAAACTTTGAATCTCATTTTCAGCATATGAGGGTACAGCAACTTGGTTTGTAGAACTGAATAGCCATTACTATCCACACACATTTGATTATAGTGTTCACCATTATAATCAAATCATGTGTTGATAGCACATGTCAGTTCTTTCCTTTCTGCCAAATATGTAAGCATGTTCTTGCTAGGCAGAACTCCAAAACTTAAAAAAAAAAAAAAAAAATCATTCTTACTTTTTCCAGTGATAAGAAATAGAATTAAGAAACTGAAATGTATATACATACTTGAAATAAAAACATCAAAAAAAAAATGTGTGTGATCCAATCCCCCCCCTTTTTTTTTTAAATTTAAAAAAAAAAATTTTTTTTTTTTTTTTAAGAGTTGAATACAGAGAACTGAACTGGTATATGTAGTGTGTCACAATGTCCCCAAACAACCCCCCTCAGGTTTTGAATTCATTTGTCCTTATAGACCAGTTGCAACCCGATGATATGGACCCAGTCTCCTGACAGCACTAGCATTACCTTGTGTACCTCAAGGTCAGTGTCAGGACAGCCTCAATACCACACTTTCCCCTAGGTCCATTTTTGTCTTTGAAAGTTTTTCCCCCTCTCTCCCTCCCCAAGATGTCTACCAAGAGGAAATCTTGTTTGTCTGCTCCTCAACCTGCCAGGAAAGGAAGAAAGAAAAAGGTATTGATTTTGATTCAAATATGGTGATTAAGAGTATGAAGTGGGGAAAGAAAGTGAACATAGTTGCACGTGATCTCAACTTATCTCAATCTGTTTTGATGGTTTTGAATCATGAAGAAAGAATTTGTAAAACTGTGAAAGGTTCTGCATCTATTTGGTCAAGAGTTATAACTAGTGACTAATGTTTTGTATTTGTATTTTGGTATGTTTTGCAACTAAAATGTTTTACTTTTTTTTATTTTATTTTATTTTTTAACTTTATCAAATATTAAACTAACTGTTCTGTAGTAGGCAGTGGTTCACTTAAACCTGATGAATCTGCCAGAGATTATCCTAGGAAATTTTTTTTTTTTTTTTTTTTTTTTTTTTTTTGTGGTAAAAAACATGTTGATTTGGAAACTTGCAAAAAGAAAAGTATAATAGTTATATTAGTATATAAATCAGCTAATGTTCCTCAAAGTTTCAGAAAAGTATTTTTTAATTTGGGAGATTTTTTTTTTAATAAAGAGAATTACATTCTGATGACAGGTGGTTAAATGCCACTAAAATAAAAAAAAAAAAAATAAAAAAATTCAAAACAAAAACCCCTTCCAATAAATTTAAATTAGTTTTGAAATACAGCAAAGCATTTTGCTTATTGGAAATATTAAATTTAATCTATTAGCTTGAAATTAAAACTAAATGAAGCTACAAGAAAGATTTTTCAATTTTAAAAGTTCATTTTAAACTTTAGGTATTGTGAATCTGTGGTGGTAAACACACACACACACACACACACATATATATATAATGTGTGTGAAAAGTGTATATAAATAAATATATATAACGTCATCCACAGACAGACTGTTTCGCTGTTTACAGCTCATCAGTGTGGCTAGACATCCGGTTGCCTCTAGCTAGGATCGAAACCCGACTGAATTGGTGTCAGTCGGAGCTTCTAACCACTAAGCCGTTGGCGCATGGTAGGGATGAAGGTGGATTTTTAGCATATTTATTTTTTAGAAACATGCCCAGTGACTGACAGTGACTCAATTCGCTTTCGTGAATAGTCTCGCTATATAGCTATAATAGTCACTGTTTACGAACCCACACTCACCCCAGAGTGCTCAACTGAAATTAATTTCAGGAGCAGCACGCTTTAGCGATCGTCAGATTGTCTGACGATCGCTAAAGCATGAAACCCAGGGTCACAAACTCACATCTATCCAACTAATATATATATATATATATATATATAATGGACTCTCCCATCATTTTCAATGTATGAGTGTTTTCAGTTCAGTTCTTGTGTTTTTCGTATAAGACAACAATCCTGCACTGAATTTGCAAACCAGTCCACACAAGGGGCATGTTGAAGGTTTTAACCGCCTGATGTATTTGCCTGAGATTTAGTGTTGGTTATTAATTCTCTCGGATGGTTAAGATGATTCTTTTCAAAGTTAGTTATACCTCGGTAGCAGGTGTTTCTCCAGTTTTCTTGGCTTTCAACAGTGTGTGCGAACTCCTTTATAGGGATGTTTGCAGCGTTTAAATTGTATTTAAGTTTGTCCTTGAAGTGTAACTAAGGACAGCCTACATTACACTTACCATGAAAAAAAAAAATATTCTGGCTGGCACTACAATAAGGATTTGTTAACCCTTCCCCACTGTCTGTAAGAGTTTATTTAACAAAAATGCCTGATTTCTTGTTTTTTTTTTTTCTTTTTCTTGATGTTTTTTATTTCAAGTAATATATATATATATATATATATATATATATATATATATATATATATATATATATCCGAATGTAATAAGGAAAATAATATATAAATTCTAATGTCCACAGCATTAACTCAATACTGATAGTAGAGCAATAATTATTTATCATAATTTTCTTCATATAGACAAAAACAATTTACTCACTACAAAGATGCATCTTCATTTCAGTGCATTTAGTTGCATCTCGACTGGTGGGAACTAAATGTGCCGAAATGAAGCTGCATCTTTGTAGTGAGTAAATTGTTTTTGTCTATATGAAAAAAAAAATTATATATATATAAATCATTTCAGTTTCTTATTTTTTATCACTGGCAAAAGTAAGAATGACTTTTTTTTTATTTTTTATTTTGGAGTTCTGTCTAGCAAGAACATGCTTACATGGAAAGAACTGACATGTCTATACATGATTGTCATTTTAATTTTATGGTTAAATGTTTCTCGTTGATGAATGGTAGATTATTCTTTTGTTTCATATTAAAGGAAAACATTAACTTCACGAAGAGTCATTATAACTGGTCAGTTTATTGATCTCTTTTGTTGCTACCACAATGTTTTTGCTGATGATTTATTTACTATTTAATTGCTCAGTCTGTCTTATATGCATCTGAAGATGCTGGCAAATATACTGATAGCTACGATTTCCTAGTACAGACAAACCTCTCATCAATGGGGAGAGACAATCTGTTAAAGCTGATTGTCTATAGATGGGAAGGGACTATTTTTTTAGTAAGAAAACCACTATAGTAACTACCAGTAGTTATAATCATAATGTAAATACTATAAACATGTATGTATGGCATAAATAGATATATATTTGATATAGAAGTATTAATCAAAATAACAAAAATAAGTTTTCTCTAAATGAAATTTAAGAAAAGTTAGTGAAATAAGTACAATATGCCAAACTGTTCTTATAAAGTTGTTTTTTGTGTTTTTTTATTATATACTAATTTACTGTACAGTAAAAACAATATCAAAGAAATATTAGAGCAATAAAAAGAGGGTTAAGAAAATATTACTGTAAACTGATAATACTAAAATATAATTAAAAATGGTTTATTGGTTCTCTGGTTGCAAAATTTGAGTACCAAAAAATGTGCACAGCAACTTTAAAAAAAAATACACAACTAAAATAACATTAACCCTTTAGCAATCAACATGCTCAAACCTACCCCATAAATATCAGCTCTCAAAGACTTTTGGTGTTATTTGTGATGATGTTGTCATATATTATGACAGAGTATACATGGGGCAGGTCTCATTGAGAGCTGATATTTACATATGGGTTAAATGCTAAAGGGTTAAAAGTAAATTAAACTAACCACTCCTGTTTACAGAGAGACAGCTGGTAGGACTTAATATACACTGATTCCAAAGCCTTCATGTGATAATCAATATTAGTCTTACTGAGTACATTTTCATGCTATAAGCCTGGGCACACTGCTGGTTTTTAATCAAATATTTAACTTTTGCTGAACATGATGCATTAACCATCCTATGTAAATTGTCCAACTTTCCCTTGTGAATATTGACTGGAATGTGTTGGTTGATCTGTGTCTCTAACTTTTGACTTGTTCTGTCTTCATAGTCAGCATTGCACTGATATTTGAATTTATAAATTACAGAACTAAATTATGAAAATATTTAATTTTGCAATTGTATTATATTTTTTTGCATTGTTAGGACCTTTATTTATACAAGTAACTCTGTTGTTGTATGTAAAAAAAAGGGTTTTGCTTTTTAAATCATTAACAAATGAAAATATACAAAAATTCTGTAACAAATGGAAAAAACATAATGTATTAGTGGCCTGCTCCAGTAGTACCTGATGTTGTCATAACAATAGTCTCATATTATCAAAAAGGGGATGTCAGGCCATACAAAAAAATATGAGATCACAGATTTTTATATTAAATATAACATTGTTTTTTTTTTCTTTTCTTCTCTAGGTTAATTTTTGTAAAGACCTTTGCAAAGTCTTTTCAAGATGGTGTCGAGTACATTTAAAGCACAGTTTCATAATGAGGAATTCATAAAGTCTGAAGGTGACAAGAGAAGTTATCGAGGTCTTGAACTGGATAATGGGATGAAAGTACTGCTGATCAGTGACCCAGAGACAGATAAATCTGCTGCATCATTAGATGTTCATGTGGGTAAGGACTTAAAATTTGATTTGAACAAAACTGATTGACTTGTTTGTTTGTTTGTTTCTCTCTTGTTTGTTTGTTTCTCTCTTGTTTGTCTATGTGTTTTTGTTTCTCTCTTGTTTGTCTGTGTGTTTTTGTTTCTCTCTTGTTTGTCTGTGTGTTTTTGTTTCTCTCTTGTTTGTCTGTGTGTTTTTGTTTTCTCTCTTGTTTGTCTGTGTGTTTTTTTTCTCTCTTGTTTGTCTGTGTGTTTTTTTTCTCTCTTGTTTGTCTGTGTGTTTTGTTTCTCTCTTGTTTGTCTGTGTGTTTTTGTTTCTCTCTTGTTTGTCTGTGTGTTTTTGTTTCTCTCTTGTTTGTCTGTGTGTTTTTGTTTCTCTCTTGTTTGTCTGTGTGTTTTTGTTTCTCTCTTGTTTGTCTGTGTGTTTTTGTTTCTCTCTTGTTTGTCTCTGTGTGTTTTGTTTCTCTCTTGTTTGTCTGTGTGTTTTGTTTCTCTCTTGTTTGTTTGTTTTTGTTTCTTTTTTGTTTGTGTGTTTTGTTTCTCTCTTGTTTGTTTGTGTGTTTTTGTTTCTCTCTTGTTTGTTTGTGTGTTTTTGTTTCTCTCTTGTTTGTTTGTGTGTTTTTGTTTCTCTCTTGTTTGTTTGTTTTTGTTTCTCTCTTGTTTGTTTGTTTTTGTTTCTCTCTTGTTTGTCTGTGTGTTTTTGTTTCTCTCTTGTTTGTCTGTGTGTTTTTGTTTCTCTCTTGTTTGTTTGTGTGTTTTTGTTTCTCTCTTGTTTGTTTGTGTGTTTTTGTTTCTCGTTTGTTTGTTTGTTTCTCTCTTGAATGTCCTCTGTAGTATTTGATAATCATGGAAACAAGATCAGGCTAACATTATCAATATATTTTTTAAAAAATGTTTAATTTTATAACGTTTTTGAAATTAATGTAAATTTACAAATGCAAGTAAAAGATGAGAAAAATGAAGGAACGGCCATTTTCAGAAAATACCAGATATTCTCATATCTAAGCAAAGTATTAAGAAACAGGAAAAGTTAGAAACAAAGAAAAGTGTACTAAACTGTTATGTAATATCAATCTACCTCTAAGGCATTGAAGGCTGGACAATCTGACAGATGAAGAGACTTTAAGCAACTAAAATGTAATTCTGCAGAATACAATGGATAGAACATGTGAGCCAGGACGAAGCTTTATGGAAAATGGAAACAAAAAGGATGCTTACACTTCTAATCAGAAAGAGACAGTTCAAATTTCTCAGACATAATTGGAGAACGATACTCACAGGACATATAGACAAGAGGAACATAGGAAAGCAGTGAATAACTTATCAAACAAGTTTATTTAAATGGTTGGTAGAACAGGAATTAGGTGATATAGCAAAAATGACAGGCCTTACTTGGAGCTACAAAGGACATGCCTACTTGAATCTAGAGTCCTAAATATGGCTACTCCAGAAACACAAGAATCTCCATATTATATGTAAGACTCTTCCTTTTTGTTTTCCTTACATTCTGCTTGTGGTGCAGATATGAGATATTATTATCTGCGTGTATGTGTGTATATATATATATATATATATATATATATATATATATATAAAAAAAAAAGTATGTTTGCCATTCCTTTTCCTTTCAACAATTTCATTCCATCTATGAAATAGAATGTTATTGTATCATGGATATAATAATGCTCATAATGGGGGAAATAGTGGGAGTACAAAATATTCTTCTATAAACTCTCCTGTTACACTCTTTTCCATATGAAGACTTAAGTTATCATGTACAGGGTGTCTCAAAAGTCATCGAGGGATTTAAAAAATATTTTACTTTCTGTTTTTTCTACTACTCAAAAATAGTTTTATACAGAACAAAAATTCAGACATAGGAAATATATTCCCATTTATTTATGAAAATTTAATACGTAAATGTCCTTCATTTTTGACTTCACACAGGTGCACTCTTTTGATAACATTCTCGATAACTGCAGTTAATAACATCAGATTTCTGCGCAGATGTCATCCTTGAGTTGTTGAATTGTTTTGTGTTTATTGATGTATACATGTGGTCTTCCACATTGTGGCAAATCACTGAACCATATTGCTTAAAACTTTGAATTAACAAATCTAAAATACAATTCAACGATTTTGGTTCTTTGTTCAGTTGGGAATTTTTCCATTAGTAATTTTCATCTAATTCTGTAATGGGGGTGGGTGGGGATCTGACATGTTATGACATTTTTAAATACCCAGGTGACTTTTGGGACAACTTGTACCATGCTGAAGAATTTCATGTCAAATAATATTTTTGTAGTGTTGTCACTTGTAAAATACGGAGTTAATTTTTTTTTTCTCTTGGTAGAGGGTTTGTTTGAGAACACGTTGAATCTGAAATATGAACGAACAAAAGCTAGCACTATTTACACTACATTTGGGCTGTTGTCCTCATGTTAACCTGTGTTGGCTGTCCTGCCCTCTGGCCTTTATCAGGTGTATATGCTATTTAATCCATAGCTGCACATAGCTATCTCTAAACATCAGTAATGTTTGAGCATTTTTTCCGTTTGACCTCATTTGGTGAAAAATGGGAAGTTTCAATTTTCTGGAAATGAATGACTCTAAAACTGCTGATGGCAATTTCACATGGATGATACCATTTTGGTTTCAATAGGATACTCTGCGATACAGACTAAGTTAGCTGACACCTCCAGCACCTAAGAAATTGTACACTAATGTCTACACAAGTTTTGAAGTAGCACTAAGTGCTAGTTAGTGAAGTTGAATATATGTAACCACAAAAAAATTCTCGAGAATTGGCAACAAAAATGTTAAACCCTATTTTCTTATTAAACTGTTTACTGTACAAAAAAGGTGTGTTCAATATTTTTAATTCTTTAGTGAGTGAGAAGAAGAAAGCATAAATTCAGTTTCAAATGTTTGGGTTTTATTAAAATTCTAAAAATAGCTTTTTAATATAGTAAAAAAAAAAGAGCTGAGGAAGTGTACAGTAATAGTTGTTAAGACAAAACTCCTCGTCAAACGTTTTTTTTTTTTTTTGCAGGTTAAACATAATGGTATATCGGTAGATAGGATCCAAAAAAGGTTTCCACATCCTTATAGTTGACAGTATTTTCCATTCTATGACTACAACCCCTTTCTCACAAACGAGATGTCACAATTCTCTTGTTGCTCTATTGCTATGTCCATGGAAAGTGTTCATAGGAAATAAACTCCTTACTTCCACCATTCCTAACCTTCACAACTTAGACCCGCCATGCCACACACATTGTAGCGAACCAGCCTCCTTCCTTTTGTATTCCTTTGGTGTGATGTAAGTTCCACTTGAGCAGCTTCTATTCATGAACCATTGCCTTGTGGAACACCAAGCAATGTAAATTTTTTAAAGAACTATATTGGCAAATATATATATATATATATATATATATGATTTATATTTTGTATTCATTCTTTGTTTTCAGGTGACATGTGTGATCCAAAGGACTTGCCAGGTTTAGCACATTTTTGTGAACACATGCTTTTCCTTGGGACCAGCAAGGTAAGGTCTAAAAAGGAATGATTCTTGGTGAAATGTATTTTAGCCTGAAATTGTTAATCCTAGCATTTTAATGTACTTGGAAAGAATTTTCTTTCATCCTGGGTATGACAATAAACTACATCTGACAGTAAGGTATCTAATTAGAGGAGATTTTATTTTATTTATTTATTTATTTTTTTTTTTTTTGTAAAAGGGGTTGTATTTTGCTTTTAAATGTAAATAAATCATTCACTCGCCAGAAATTTACAATTGCCTGATGAGATGCATTTGATATGTTTTCGATGTAATAGCCGTTGGGATTGTACTCTATTCATTCTCATCTTACCTGGGTATATACAAAAATAAGCAATTTTTATGGAATCAAAATATTTTCTTGAACAAGAGTAAAAATGTATGTTTTATTCTTTTCCTAAAAAAAATTTCTTTTCATTCCAGTATCCAGAAGAAAATGAATATACAAAAGTAAGTTTTTTTTTTTTTTTTTTTGTTTTTTTTTTTTTTTTTTTTTTTTTTGTTCATTGCCTCTAGACTTACGGCTATATCATGTTGAAACCTGTTCTTGTATGATAACTGAAGTTAAGCAATATCAAGCCTAGTCAGTGCCTTGATTGGTGATCTCTTAGGAATTCCAGGAGCTGTAAGCTTCGATGTGTAGGTCATATAATGGATAACTACTCAGAATTGGAAATCGGAGTTGTGCTCCAATTCTATTCAGGCCCATTATATTCACTTACGCACATGTACCCTTTTGGGGGTGGGGAAGCCTGTTCTCTGTCTACCTCTCACTCCACAGCGTGTCTGGTTCTCTGTTTAGTGCCAGACTTAGCTAAATTTGGTAAATATTATTTCTTTCTCAGTTATTACAATAAACTTTTGTGATGAATTAAGCACGTTCAAATGTTCGGTAATTATACTGTAAAGTGTCTTTTGTCCCCTTTGATTACCTGTGAACTGACATTATCATCAACTTGTTAATTTCTTTTTTATTATTTCAGTTTGTTCATGAGCATGGAGGCTATTATAATGCATTCACTTCATTTGAAAATACTAACTTTCATTTTGATGTCAGTCCTTCTGACCTCGAAGGTGCACTTGACAGGTATGTGTACAGACATCTTGATTTCTATTGAGCTATATATGTAATCTAGACAATTTGGGAAAGACTTTATTTTTGTAAACTTTTCTCACAAAATGACTGTATAAAGTTAATATACTCCTTTCTTTGATAGTCTGATGAGGTCAAATTGGCAGCTGATGTCATAAACAACCTTCAATCTGTTGTCAACTGGGCCAAAGAATGGCTTGTTAATTTTAATACCTCCAAAACAAAACTGCTCTCTTGCAATTATCTGAGAGACCCCTTATTGCTTTCCATCAGCATAGTTGATGCTAATCTCTAGAAGGGTGACTTGTTGCACCTTCTGAGGCTAATATTCTTGGTTGACATGAAATGGAAAGACAATATTGAAGCCATTGCAAGGTCAGCTGCTAAGAAACCTTCTTCACAGTGTTGTGGTAGATTCTGGAGAGAAAAATTCTCTATCTTGCATATCTATATGTCTACCATTTGTCCATGCTTAGAATATTGCCGCTACATATTGTCTGGTGCTCTTAGTATACATCTAGAGATCCTTGATAAAAGCCAGAAAAGAATCAGCAATATTATTGGTCCTGGCTTGACATCTCTGTTTCCTGATCTCTCAAAAGTTGCCTCCCTTTGCTTTTTTTTTTTTTTTTTTTTTTTTTAAATACTTTCATGGTAATTTTTCAAATGAGCTCTTCACTGTGGTACCTAGAGTTTATGAATTTAAGTGCACTAATAGACAGGTGACAAGGTCTCATCAATTTACAATTGAATTGGCTAGATGTAACTAAGCTAACTGTTTTTCTCGCTTGTGGAACTCCCTTCTGGCTCCATGCTTCCCAGTCAATTTTAATCTTCAAAAATTTATATGCAGTGTCAATCATTTTCTACTGTCCTCCTGATTAGTCCTCTCTTGTTCTTGCTCCCAAGTAACATTTCTGTTTTCTAATTCATCTACACCCAGTTACCCCATGTATCTTAGTGGCTTTAATGCCTTGCTTGGGGTGAACTTACTTAAAAAAATAAATAAATAAATAAATAAAAATTATAGGTGTGTGTGTGCTAACACAAAACAACAAATTGGCAAGTTCAAATTTTGTCACATTCACTTTCATGCAAATACTTTTAGCATAGATATGAATCCATCTCTTTCCCCTCCAGCTATAGGTTAAATAACAGCAGACTGGGTATCTCTTGAGCTGAGGTTGCAACCAGTCTAGTAAAAAAGGAAAAATCTAAATTTAAAACCAGCCTGAAGAGGAATGGGCTCTATCAAGCTATCTTGTTCTAGACACACCAGTGTGTCTATAGCTGCAGTACATGTGTTGCCTCAACAACCCTAATGGGTTACAGAACTTGTGATGTGACTTGTATCAGTTATTCAGTTAATTACACTTATATCTGATTGGTCCCTTAACTTGCATGCCAATAACATGTTAGTAAGTAGGCTTTTGATGGAGCCAGATTGCAAACCTCACCTACTGATATTTTTTTTTTTTTTTTTAATATTTAACACACAACAGGAGTGCATTTCCTTCTCAAGGTACAGAAGATGATGATTGACATTTCATTTAAATTATTGAAGATCATAGGTGACAGGAAAGAAAGAAGCCGGAAGAGTTCCTTTTGTGATGCCAACGAATATTGTCACTCTTGTAATGCTTGCTGTAGTAGAGACTTTGTAATTGTAAATACAACTATAGTATGCCATTAAACAATACTGGTGTCAGGCACCTTCAAATAGCACTCATACTAATAGTACTTGCTCGATAATGCTCGCTTGAATAGTAATCTGTATAGTGATCCAAAAAGAGAAATAGTATAGTGAATACTATAGAGAATAGCTGTCCTTATAGTGTAGAGGATAGGCTAGAAATGGAGATCAATTAGACACATGCTACCTCCCATACATGCGTTTCTCCCATGGTCATGTGATTCACTTAATTCAATAATGGGATCACCTGTGTTTGCTCACTGGTGATCTATGTTCAAATTCAAGTGTCAGCAGTGACACTTTATTCCTATATAACATTTCCACAGGCAAGAAGTGTGAGTAAATAGATTATTAGAGTAAAACTTATGGTTATTCAATAGTAAAACGCTATGACCAGTCTAGTAGTACATCTAAATTCATGTAGTCAAGGTACCAATAGGGAAAGCTTATTAGAACAATTTCCATGAAAATAGTTATAAAAAAGACACAGGGAAGCCATGTTATGGAAGTGGGAAAGTGAATGAAGTTGAGATGCCAGGTCAGAACTGATAATATTACAGATTGTTCTTTGGATGTTGTTCATTATCTCCAAGATATTGAGCTGGAGCACCAGACCAAATATGGCAGCAATATTCAATGCATGGACAAATGGTAGATTTATAAACATGTAAGATGGATCCTATTGGAAAGAATGTCTGGTTTCATTGTTATGTCTTCCACAGCTTGTTTCCTTTCAGTTCTGGGCTGCAAAACATTTTTTGCTCAGCAGCATGTTAATTTCATAGAACTTTTTTATATTGTGCAAATAAAAATTTCTGTCACCTTTTCTCTTCCATTTTCTTTGATTATGTGAAAGCATTAACACCCTCAGTATAAAGATTTGATATGTTATAAAATTTATCAACATTTCAATGTAAAACTTTATTTTTATGGTTTTATTAAATAGAAACCAACAAAAATAGTTATATTTAAAGTAATATAGACTTGAATTAATTTTGTTTTTATATAAAATAGTCTGTGTATGTCATTTGACAAGATATACCTATATTTATAGGGTAAAGTCGGAGGATAGAACGTATGTAAATATAAGCAGTGGGGACACAGCTCTACATTGAATGTTTGTTTCATGCTCAAACAATATACATGGCTTGAAGATTGCATTCCAGTATGAAACGCTTTCACCATTCGATGCCGAGCTGTGCTCACACACACACACACTATATATATATATATATATATATATATATATATATATATATATAATTATTTATTTAAAAATATGATTCCAACTCTCGACATAACTTTGGATTATTTACCTAACCAGTTCCTTCCTTTTTTATATATTTTCACACACACACACACACACACACACATATATATATATATATATATATATATATATATATATATATATATATACATTGTGTGTGCTTTATAAAAATTCCATGACTACAATGGATAAAATTTTTAAATTCTGAAATAACTATAATGGAGAGTGTGTATGTGTATTTAAAAATCAATATGACCACAAAACACAGATCTAAAATTTTTTAGCATAACAACAATAGCATGTTTGTTTTTTGTAATTTACTCCTGAAAAAGGTCTTAGAAAAGGTCAGAAATACTTGGGTTAAAAAAAAAAAAAATCTATGCTGCCTTCCTTGATAGATTTCACTTCAATATCAAAAACCTAATGGGACAGCATGAAAGGATCAATATAAAAATATATAGACACAATATGTCTATATTATTCAACAAAACATGTTTAAATGAAAATAAACTACATATGTGATATATGTATGTAGAACAAAACTGACAAGATATTCATGTGTACGAGTGTTTTCGTTTCTGAACTTAATGTAAAAATTGTTCAAAACTAGAGTTTATTTGATTTTTCAATTGATTTTATTTTAGTTTTTTTTGTGGGGGGTGGGAGATAAGTTAGGTGACTAAGTCTTTCCTTACCAGTAGCTTGGCCTGGTAAGTCACTGAGGGATGTATCCCTTTGTCACCTTGCATGTGGCATTCAATTTAATTATTTGGCATTCTCACGAGGCCATTGTGGTTTCTTTTATATCGGTTTCCTTCTCCTAGATAGATGATCATTAACATGTCTAATGAGCTTTGTCTAACCACTTGGCTTTTTACATAAGAGTTTTGTTTCTCCTCCACAAATTGCCTTCACAATGGCTGAGGATGTTCAATTTTGGAGTCGGGAAGAGAAAAACAAAATTCTTCCACTGTTCTTTTTGATTGTTCAGAGTTTGGGCTGGCTTCAGTATATTATAATATCAATAAATAAATAAAAAAAAAATGATAAAAATGTGTAGTAATGGTTTCTCTCACAGTACTTGCACTTTCCATACTCATTATATAAATTTTTCCCTTCTTTTGTACAGATTTGCACAGTTCTTTATCTCTCCATTATTTACGTCATCAGCAACTGAGAGAGAAGTGAATGCTGTTAATTCTGAACACAGTAAAAATATTCATGACGACAGTTGGAGACTTCAACAGTTGGAGAGAGCCATGTCTGATCCTAATCATGACTTTTGTAGGTTTGGTACTGGTAAGTACAGTTGTCTTATTCCTTTTAAGATGGATTATATAAAAACTCCCCACCTCCACTTGACAAAAAAGAAAGGAAAGTAACTATACTAATAGTCCTCATCTTGGTTGTTATAATCTTGTTAGGCTGTTTGGGAAATGCCTGATTTTTAGACCTTTTAATTGTGTTCTAATAGTATAATAGTTGCATAAAATATATTACTCATTCCTAATGATTAAAGTGACCTCTTTGTTAATCTCTCTCTCATATATATATATATATAATTTTTTCATATAGACAAAAACAATTTGCTCACTACGTAAATGCAACCTATTGAGGTTGCATCTTTGTAGTGAGTAAATTTTGTTTTTGTCTATATGAAAAAATTATAATAATTACTGTTCTATCGGTATTAAGCCCTCTTTTGAATTAATGCTGTGAACATTTGAATTTATATATTATTTTCATTCTCATTACATTCATTCACACACACACACACACACACACACACACACACATATATATATATATATATATATATATATATATATATATATATATATATATATATATATATATATATATATATATTCCATTGAGCAATTGAAACCAAATTTTAAGGAGGTACAAAGTACAGTTGGTTTTACTGTAGTGCATAAAAACTGAAATAGGATTTTTGCTAAAGTATTTTCCAAACAAATCAACTTATTCAAATTTCATTGATTTGTTTGCAAAATTGAACAAAAATGTCGTATGTAAATTTCAATGTTAGTGATAACTTCAATGATGCTAAATAATGTGAAGATTTTAACATGTCGGTGTGTTGCAAATGAATTTTAGTTTTATATAAATCTCATTTGAAATTTGTTGTTCAGAAAATAATGGCCAATTTTAGAATAAGCCTATTTTAATAAATTATTATAATAGTTGCCCCAAAATATAATACTCATTTCTAATGATTAAAGTGTCCTCTTTGTTAATTTTATATCAGTCTTTCAGAATTTAACCTAAAACATTATATACTCTTCATCTTGAACATGAAAAAAGTTGATGTTTACTTTTTTGCGTGAGTACAGTATTGTTTATAATGCTTCTCAAACTGCAGCCAACATTAATATAGTATGGGTTGAAGGATCTACTTGTGATCAGATAGTAAGTTGCTTGTTTCTGAAGTCCCACAGTGGGGATACGAGTCATGAAGAAAAGGTGGTAGAGGACGGCCATCTGCAATTGACAAACATATGAAAGTACTAATCAAACAAACCCAAAGTATCAGAAACGTTTTGGATAATGTCGTCATTTCATTTCAAGAAAATTGGCAAGTGGGTTCCACATGAAATCTGTAAGTCAAAAAATTTGATGTTTTGAAATATGTTTGATGCTGCCTCTACCAAATTTGAATTATCCATTCTTTTGATTGAATAGTGATGTGATGAGAAATTTAATCCTTTATGACAATTGTAGACGGTCAGCTCAATTGCTTTATCATGATGAAGCATCTAAACACTTTCCAAAACCGAAATTGTATCAACTGAAGATCATGGTGACTGTAGTCTGCCACCTGGCGTTATCTATTAGTTAAGATACAAGACCTTTTCATATTCCCATGATCTCTCACTGGCTACCACTTTTTCAAACATCTTGACAAGTTTTTAAGACATTCCACTGAAAAGCTGATGCAGAAACTGCATTCAAATATTTCTTTGCATCTAAATCTTTAGAGATTTATTGTAAAAGAATAAATAACCTTGTAACTCAATGGCATAAATTTATAGATGTTCAGGGTTCAGTTTGATTTAAACATTGTTTAAATATATTAATTCATGAATAAAAGTTAATTCTAAAGTTGGACATTATTTTCTGAACAACTTGCCAGGGTATTTCAAAGTGAGCCATTTGTTCAATTCATGGCAAATGTACATGAATTCTTTGAGATAATTAAACTTTCTAATATATTGCAATGAAGTGATTTTTTTTTTTTTAATTATGTGATTTTGTGAATCCACTGAAGGTAGAGTTGGGTATTTGCAAAAAATAAAATAAAATTAGTTACTTTGTTTAACTCAATTTTTATTTAATTTACACACCTGGGCAAAACTTTTCTCAAACTAATTTAATATAAATATTGAAATATGTTTTTTTTTTTTTTTTTTTTTCTTTCTTCTGTCTCAGTAGCAAATCCGACAGATCTGACAAAGTAAACCTGACATCTGTTCTTGAAAAGGACCTCCAATCAGTGGTTAACTGGGGCAAGAAATGGCTTGTTAATTTTAACACCTCCAAAACAAAATTGCTTTCATTTAATGACCATAAAGAACCTTTTCTACCTGCCATCAGTATGGTTGGTGCAAGACTTCAGGAGAGCAGCACACTGAGCCTTCTTTGTCTCGCATTTTCCATTGACTTGAAATGGAGCAACTACATCATATCAATAGTTGCATTTATTGCAAGAAAAATTGGATCTCTGTCTTGTGCCAAAAAATTTTTCTTGTCAGAATTGATTTTTCACATTTACAAATTTACCATCTGTCTTCTCCATTGAATATTGTTGCTATATCTGGTCTGGTGCTCCTGCTGAACATCTTGAGATTCTTGACAAAATCCAAGGAAGGATCTGTAATGTAATCGATCCTGACCAGGAATCTTGACTTCAGCCACGTTCTCACTGATATGACGTGGCTTCCCTTTTGTTTTCTACCGATATTTTCATGGCAAGCTTTTTTTCTCTGGTGTACCAAATACATGAATTTAAGCATGCTGCTAGATTGGCATCTAGGTTCTACCCTTTTACTGTTGAAATACCTAAATGCAAACCTTGCTTCTACTTCAACAGTTTCTTTTACTCACATTTCCAACCAGTGGAACTCCCTTTTGATTACTTGCTTCCTCGATAACTACAATCTTCAAAAATTTAAATGTAACCTCAGTCACCATTTTCTGTCTCTTTGAATCCCATTTATTTTTTTTTTTTTATTCTTTCCTTGATCCTTCCTATTCTTTTGTCACTTTCACACACTGTAACCCGCCTTGCTTGGGGAGAAATGATTTAAAAAACAAAAAAACAAGCGTTTTGATTGTATTGGATGTGTGGGCGGTGTAATGGTAAGTGACTCTGAATGAGAAATCTAAGAGCTGTGTTTGAATAATAACATAATCCATAATAATAAATTACATGAAAACAGAGGCATAATACTACCGACAAACTCTGTCACGTCTTCTATCCAGAACATCTTATCCCATCTAAATAATCCTAAAATAATCACAAACAGTTCCAAATCCATTATGGATATGATCAAATTGTCAAGCACTAATAGCAATAATATTTCTGAAGCAGGTATTTATAAAATGAATTGACAAAACTGTTCCTCCCAATATATTGGAGAAACAAGCAGAAATTTAAAAAAAAAACTCATCTATGAGCACAAAAAGAGAACCTCACAAAAAACAACATAACTAATGTACTAGTCATATATAGAAATATATTCAGCTACAATTTTGATTTTAAAAATGGTACACTCGTAAAAAAAAAAAAAAAAAAAAAAAACTCTCTCAGAAGGAAAATCCTCGAAACTGCTGCTGTTGAATATTATCCAAATATTAATCTATGCCCAAGTTTTTCCCAAATATCACCTTTCCTAACAGAAACTCTCTCAAGCCAGCATACACAACAATATCAAGAAATCAAAAGAGAAATGGTTTAATCCGACAATACAACAATAAAAACAATATTTCTATACATAGAAGTACTTGACATAATTTTCAGTTGACACACACACACACACACGTTAACTCAATGGACCATATGACTCTCGGTAACCATTTAGAATGACATAAAGATTTTTTTTTTATTCTTTTTCTTTTTTTCCCCATCAGGTAACAAAGAAACTCTGGAGATGAAACCAAAAGAAAAAGGAATTGATGTACGTGATCAACTTTTGAAATTCCATGAGAAGTTCTATTCCAGCAACATTATGTGCCTCGCTGTCCTTGGCAAAGGTTACTTATTTTTTATTTTTTTTTCCAAGCACTGCTTATTTATTATTCACTATTATGCTAACACTATTTTGGCTTTAAGAAACTTTGTTTAATATGTGTAGTTCTTAATGTTCAATTTTTTTTTTTTTTTCTTTTCCAATGTTTTGTACCATTCATTTGTCACTGGTGATTGTATTGTTGGATAGCTCTGTAGTCTTCAAGACTTTTATTTGTTTACTAGCCTTGAAGCTGGCTTTCAGCAGACTTTGGGCTAGTTCCTGCAAAGGGCTTTTTGGGTCTTTTAGCCTATTACTTAGAAATAATAAAATGAATTTATCTCTATTTGACACCCTAATTCAGCATAATCTTCATATACGCAACCGATCTCCATAGTTTGTTTACATTTATTTTGTGTGCAATTTTTATTTTCTTTTAAAATCACCATTCATTATGATCCTTTCACATAAAGTCACTCTTAAGAAATTAAAGAACCCAAACAATGTAATATTTTGAATATGTATGTGTGCTAGAAAAAAACATTAGTTTTAATTATGGTTTAATTAGATGATGTGAATTGCAATTGCGGTGAAATTAAAATTAAACCTTTCACAAAGAATTGTTTTTGAAACCTTTTACTCTGTTTGATATTTAAATGTAACTTTAAATGAGTTATTTATTGAATTTTTAATCGCATGTAACTACAGTAGTAGTTGTGTAATTTAAGTGTATCATATTACAGGAGTGGGGAAGAAGAGATGAAGTCTTTAGCTGTTTGACATCCAAACTCAGAATTGTGAACATGTAAAATTTAAAATCTCGTCTCTTCATTCATGCTCCATTTTTTTTAAAGCGAAAGCAGATACCATTTCTTGAACAAGGGAGGTAACGATGGATTGCTCAGCACCTGTTACTTCAGGTTGTTTATGATTCACCATGATCAAGAAACAGACGGACTCACATATGCACTGTGCTTTATTATTATAGATAACTGGATAGTTGTTCTGCTAGAACAATTCCGACTAGGTAGTGAGTTTGATCCTCACTGGGTGCCCCATACTTTCAGACTTGTGCCACATCTGAGCTACGCTTGGAGAATCAGTATAGATGACTGGATAGGATACGTTGTGTTACCAAATGGAGGAATATGAAACAATAACCTCACAGGATGGGGATTATCACCCTATTTTCAAATGGAAAAACCTGAAAGAAGTACATAATTTATACAATAGTGAGGCCTTTGTTGTGACATTAGTGTTATCAAAGTATGACAGATCTTATGTATTCCCTTTATTAATTTTTTTAGTGAATTTCCTGTCTTTCAGACAAAAGATATTCAATTGTAAACAATTGTTATCATAATGTGGAATACTTAAAAGCAGAAATGATAAAGCCAAAAAGCGTAAGGAAACTGAATGAGATCATTTAGACTGTCCAGTCATATAAAAATTTAAAACTCTGCGTTTCCATATCTTCAGGGTTTCCTCTTCATACATAATTATAAATGACTAGCAGTAGAGCTTGGCATTGCCCGGGGATGTAACAGTAGACCATCATAAAGACTGAAAAATAAAATTGACAAAGATTATTATTTACATGTCTTAATTAGTTTTATTTTGTTTTATTTTACAAATTGGTCAAACCCAAACAGAAACAAAAACATTGTTTCAGTCGTTACTCTGAGTCGTTATCGATTGAATAGAATTTTATTATAAACAATTGTCTTGTAAATGGAATTTTTAAAGCATTTTGAATGTAAAAATAAAGAAAAAAGTGTGCAAGAGAATAAGAAACACTACCTGCCAAAAAAAAAAAAAAGTTGAAATCGGTTGAAAAATGTAGGAAATCCGATCCCATATATAAACGAACACATCCACCTACATACACAACCAACCTGGGTTTTATAATAAGTATAACTCGATATGAGTTGTCCCCCTTTCATTAATGCCTCTTAATCGTGTTTTCAAATTGATTTCATGCAAAAACAATTGTGTTTTTCCAATATTTGGTGCTGTCAGAACCACTGCAAGGTAATTTTATGTAGTCCTGTGAAGTTTTGTTGAAATCGGTTGAAAAATGTAGAAAATCTGATCCAATATATAAACGTACACACACACACACACACACACACACAATCTGCATTTTATAATAAGTAAGATGATGTCTGCATTTAGTCCGGGTGGGAGGGGTTAAGTGTTACATAAATTTTTTTTTCACTTCGTCATTCAATTAACTAACATATTTCTGATATATAAATATTTATATATCATGTTCCTCCATATTATTTTTATCATTTTATCAATTCTTGTTCCTTCCAGAAACCTTAGATGAGTTAACCGCTATGGTTGTTCCTTTATTTGAGAAAGTCGTTAATAAGAATGTAGCCATACCGGAATGGCTGGATCATCCATGTGGTTGTGATCAAGTTAAGGTGAGTCTTCAGATTATTTATTTTACAATCTGATTTGACCTGGTTGGTAAAAATATATTTTTTTGTTATCTCTCTTTGTTACCTTGAATCATATACATACAGCTACAGCATTTTGCCAGGTCAATCTAGTGAAGCACATTTAAATTCAGTAACAATTATGATACCTTTTAATACTAATTTTGACTCTTATTTATGCTTTGTTGCTTTTTAGTATAACTTTTACCCAGGCTGTCAGTTTACAAAAGTGAGTTGTAGCTCAATTGTTTAAAGCAGATAGTGTGTTCAACCAAGCTTCTCAGAGTTCAAATCTCACCAATAATTTATCTTTTATTTCAAATCTGTGCGACTCACTGCAATAGATTAACTGCCTGAGCAAATCTGGAAGGGGGGGGGGAATAATGAAGTTTGTCTCTGTATCCATTTTTTTTTTTTTTTTTTATCCTTACTGGGAGTGGAAGAGAATGAGGGGACATTGGTGAAAGGAAAGGACAATGATAGGACAAGGTGGTTTAAAAAAAAAAAGAAAAGAAAAAAGCACTGTGGACAGGTAGTCGGGCTGATAGCTGCTTTGAAATTAGCATTGTCATACTTGTTGGTTCTAAAGTCATCTAGTATTCCTTTTTGAAGTTTGGACATGTGTAGCTAATAGCAATTGGCTATTGTATGGATGTAATATAAACTTGTAAACTTAATCCATTTTACTAATTGGAGAGTTTCTTTTTTCGGTAGGTTTAGATTCTTGATTATCTAAAAATACTGTAGAAACTGTTTGTCTGTTGGAAGATTTTGAGTTATATGGGTTCCTTGCTTTGTAACATTTCTCTCTTAAGTCCTGTACCCTCCAGTTGTGGAATGTGGGGCTCACCACCTCAGCATGCTATGTGTTATGGCTCTACAAGTAGATCTTTCATGGGAATAAGTTACTAGCCACATAGCCAATTGGTGTTGTCCTTCTCTGGTTAAAAAAAATAAATAAATAAATAAATAAAATAAAAATGAAGATAGCGATTAATATTGCATTTAAATTTTTGAAGACCACAAGGGTCAGGGAAGTAAGAATCTGGAGAGAGTTCCACAGGTGAGAAGTGCAAGAAATAGAATAGAAATTACAATTAGGTCTAGCTATTTCAACAGTAAACCAATGAGTACTATGCTTAAATTCATGCAAGAAGCCATGTCATGGCTGTGAGAAAGTGACTGAAATTGAAAAACCAGGTCAGGACTGATGACATTACAGAATTTCAGATGATTAATAGAGAGAAGTTAGTTTTGTTAGTGATAAGTTCAACAATACTAAATACTGAGGATTTCAACATGCATTAGTGTGTTGCAAAAAAATTTTAATATATAGTAATATAATAAAGTCATATCAAACAGAAAAATATGATAGATTAATTTATTCACTTCAAAAAGTATTACCAGGTATGTCTAGTTAGCACCTTTTCCTGATAATTCAAGTTTTCAAATAGAAATTAGGAAAAGAAATATTCAATGGCTAAACATTCATTCCTATTTAATATTGTGTAAAGAAATTAAATATTTAGTGAAATAAATATATGTACAACATTGAAGTTTTAATTGCTTTTCAAAAAATCTTTATATAGGGATGGCTGTGCTATAGGGGTCATATTATACTTAAAGATGTAATTTATTTCCTGTTTTTCGCTTCAGAAATAGGGGGTCGTATTATACTCAAAATATGGTAAGCACTTAACACACAACAGTCTATCAAGTTTTTCTTAAGTTTAACTTTACAAATTGAGAGTTGCTTTTTTTTTTTACTATTATTATTATTATTAATGCTTTTATTTTGGATGAATCTCTTAGAGGTTGGTAAATCTTCACATGCATTTAAATAGGTTCAAACACATTTCACTGGTATTTTATACACACTCTATATCCAAAAAAGAAATTGATTAAGTTTTAAGATGTGCTATATTTATGGGATAAAGTGCTCAGTATCAGAGATAGAGCATATGTAAATAAATATAAAAGTGAACATTGTAGTCAACATTTAGAGGTGACAGGCTGTTTCATGCTGGATGCAATCGTCAGGCATGAAACAGCCTTTCACCTCTGAGTGTGGACTTCAATGTTCGTGTGTGTGTGTGTGTGTGTGTGTTTGTTTCCAACAGATGATATCAACATAATTTCTCCAAATGGCTCAAGGGCCCAAACAGTTAGAACATTGATGAGTTCTGTTTTAATTTATTTTTCTTGCAAACAATTATCTCTCCAGTTCATATCCCAGTTGAAAAACTTGTGGATTTTTATGAAAAAATGGTATGTGAAACTATAGAGATTGTGTATGTGTTATATCTGTAACTTTTTTTTCCTTTCTTTTTTAATGACTTTTTTTTTATTTAATATTCTTGTCTTTTTATAGAGAAAGATATGTGCAGTGCCTGTTAAAGATATCCGAAATTTGGTTATTACTTGGCCTATTCCTGATCTACAGTCTTATTATACCTCAAACGTAAGTATATAAATTTTATACTCTTTATATTTCTTAGATAAAAAAAAAAAAAAAAATTTTTTTTCCCTGCCTGGATGGATGATCAGTCTCTCTGGAAATCACTAATACTTTCTTTCATCTTATTCTTTGTTGTTTATAATATCGCAACTGTTAGATCCTTTTAGACATTTATTCTAAGGTGTTGGCTCAGTAAGCTATCTTTCTGAGGATGAAGAAAGCAAGTTCGAAATCTCATCAAATATTTATTCGTGATTTATTTCAATCTGCTGCTTGTGTAACAGTTGTAGAGCATATATAACTTAACCATGTCCTTGGAGTAGGGCTGGTGCATACTCTCTCTTCCCCCACCGACCCAGGAGGTGGGTGGGTGGAGGGTCAAGCTTAATTGGAAGCTCCAGGCACTGCTTTGTAACATTTGCTTTTCTCTACGTACATTTACAGGGGTTGGACAAAATAATTGAAACACTTGTTAAATTCAAAGAAAATTTATTTAATATTGAGTTGGTCCTGCTTTACCTCACATACAGCTTTAATACGTCTAGGAATGAAATCATACAGCATCCTGACTTCATCCAGAGGAATTTTCAGCCATTCTTCCATTAACACCTGCTCCAGCTCTTTATGACACGACGGTGGAGGATAGCGGCTCCTAAATTGTCGCTCTAAAATACACCACAAATGTTCGATAGTATTGATATCTAGAGATTGGGGAGGCCACTCAATGTGTTCTAGCTCATTTTCATGGTCTTCATACCAATTCTTAACCACTTGAGTGGTATGTATTGGAGCATTATCATCTTGGAAGATGCAATCACCATCAGGGAATAAAGTCTTAGCCGTTGTATGAACATGATGTCCCAAAACATTCAGGTAATCTTTGCTGTTGATTCTACCATGCAGAGCAACTATTGGACCGAGACATTTCCATGTTATGGTAGCCCAAACCATCACTGATCCCCCTCCATGCTTCACTGTTAGAAGAAGGCAGTCAGGGTCGTAAGCTTCTTTGGGCTGCCTTCACATATAAACTCTCCCTGAAGTTGGGAAAAGAGAAAAACTGAACTTGTTTGAGAATATGACTTGCTTCCAATTGGTCTGCAGACCAGGCATTGTGATCTCTGCACCACTTCAACCTCTTCTGAATGTTGCAAGTGGAGAGAAGAGGTTTCCTTATGGTGGCTCTTCTATGATATGCAGCCTTATAGAGCTCGTGACAAACAGTTTTAGTAGAAACTGGACTATTCAGATGATTATTCAACTTGGCAGTCACTTTGGCCTGCAGTAGTCCGATGATTTCTTTTGCCACATTGTGTTTTAATGCATGTCGGTCACTGTTAGTAAGTTTGCAAGTCTGGTCCGAATTGCTACGGTTGCTAGAGGTTTTGCCCTGTTTCTCAAATTGCGTCATAGTTCTTGATATGGTAGCTCTTGAAAAACCAAATAGTTCAGTAACCTTAGTGATCGAGGCTCCTGCTATGCAAGCTCCAACAATTTGCCCTTTTTCGAACTCTGAGAGGTCAAGCATTTAGCTTAAATTTTACTAAATTCTAAAAATAAATACGGCAAAGACAGTAAATTAGATAAATAAACGTATTTACAATAGATATAACCTGCAATTACAAAGTTTTAGTTAAAGTTCTTAATATAATAGGTCTTTGAAATCTAGGAGTGGAATTTTCACCTGTTCCAATTATTTTGTACAACCCCTGTATATGTTATAAATTAAACTAAGCACAACTGACAAAGGATGAAAAACTTTTGGGTGTTTCTCATTCTGGGGTTTATTTTTTTTGTCTAAATATGTGAATTTGTTTTTCTTAAAAAACACTATAAATTTTTTTATTTTTTTTTTTTAATTTTTTTTTTTAATTTTTTTTTTTTTAAATTTTTTTTAAAATTTTTTTTTTAATTTTTTATTTTTTTTATTTTTTTTTTTTATCCATAACATTGAATGTGTTAAACTTTAATTTTTTCACAAGAAAAATCTTTAGTTGATGTTAAAAATTGCTGCAAAACATTGTTGAGATATTTAAGATGGAATAATCAATTATGACATGTCTCTAATTTGTATTTAGATACTTATTAATTTTTGACTAGTTTTTCATCTTATTTCTTATCCTCAATTGTACTTTTGATGTGCACTTTAGTCTGTTTTTTGTTTTTCTTTTTTGTGTTGTTTTCTTTACTAAATTTTTGCTATTACTAAATTTTGTAAATTTAATTTTACTAAATTAGGAAATTAATTTACTAAATCTTGTTTATGGTCATATAATGTTGAAACACTGGTTCTTGTCCAATCACCAAAGTTAAGCAATGTTGAGCCTGGTCAGTACCTAAATTGGTGACCACTTGGAATACCAGGTGCTGTAAGCTTGGATGTGTAGGCGATCTAATGGATAACAGCTTGGAATTGGAAATCAGAGAGCAGTGTTCCAATTCCAGTCAGGTCTGTTGTGTTCACTTAATGTGTAAATACCTTTGGGAATTAAATGTGTGTTAAATAGAACTTGTATCAGTAAATCATTATCTCACAAAAATTCTTACAATCCCAAAATATTTTCTGGCTTTAAATAAGGTTCATAAGCTGTATCAGTCATTTTAAAAATACTTTCTATCAAGCAATAATCATGATCTAAATTCTTAGGCAAAGTATTTCTCTTATTCATTTTTGATCAATTTTTCTTTCAGTCTGTTGTTGTCGTCTCTGCTTTATTGTGGGTTATTTTGCTTTCTCTCACTGATAGCAGCCTAGAATGGGAATTTCCCCTCCGAGATTTGAACTCTTATCCTGTCTACTTTGGAGCCTCTGCCAATCAGCAAATTTTAAATTTAATTTTACTCTGAACTCACATTACTTTTTTGCTTGTTTACCTTTCAATAAAATAAGGAAATGTTTGTAAATCTAACATGTTTTGCTTTTATTAAAGCTTCCATCAGAAAATGAAATCTGGAGAAGAAATAAAAAGTTCTGCTATTGTGGAATGAGTAGCCATAGTCAAATGCAAAATAAATAACAGAACTGTCCAACAAACAGAATTAACAAAGTTTGCAATAAAAAAGAAAAAGGAACAGGGCAAAAATTAAATATCAAGCAAGCAAACAATATATACAAGACAAATTAACAGTAATAAAGCAAAAAGTTCACAAACTAAGAATTGGTGTTGACATATAAAAGCAAGTTTGGACAAGTGGACATAGCATTTTGACTTCTAGATAATGCAGGTCAGGACCAAGTCATGTCATACTGCAGACTGACCCATTTTATTGGCTAAGAAAAAAAATCCCAGCATGCATTTGTGTGTTTTTGCCTAAAAAAGAGGAGGGACAAATTTTCTGCAGTCATTCCTATTGGATTGAAATCAACTATTTTTAATTTTTGTGTTTGTTTTCATTGATTAAGCAGACCTCATGTGCATCTGTCTTGTCAAGCATTGTTCATGTGTATATTTCTAGTTTGTCTATGCCTTTTTGGATGATTATGTATATTTGTGTGTGTGTCTGTCTAGTAGGCATTTTTATCCATGTTTTATCAAATATGGATTGGAATCCAACAGTTAATGATTATTAAAGTAAAACTCATTGAATGAAACTAAATTAACTTCCTCCACAGAATCCTTAATCTCCATTGTGGTGTAGTTGTTGTGATTTCCATGGGATGATGTTTCCAGCTTCATGCCCAACCAGTTTTGAAGACAGTAGTCCTCATTGTAAACTGGTTGCCACCCAAGGCTAGCGATCAGTCTTCTGTTATTTAACCCATAACTGGATAGTTTCATACTTTTCTCAAGGGTATTTGTGCGAAAGTGAATGCAGTGAACATTGTAGGAATTTGAACTTGGCATATCAATCCCACTTTCCACACCAATGACCATTATGGTACCTTCACATCCATAAAATGAAATAACACTAAAATGGTTTTTACCATGGAAGTTGCTAGGCTGACCAAATATGTTCACCTATTTACCCACAGATCCAAAAATGATTTTTTTTTTTTTTTTTCCCTAACTCTTACAGCCTGGCCATTACCTCTCTCATCTTATTGGACATGAAGGATTGTACAGTTTACATGCTGAATTAAAGTCTCGGGGTAAGTGGATTTTATTTTTTATTTTTTTTTTCTCCCCAAGTCTGGTGATCCAGCAGATCCTTGTATAAAAACAACAAAGAAATTTCACATCAATTAGTTTTCTGAAAGTTAAAATAAAAAATTTAATTTTTTTATTTTTATTTATTTATTTTTTTTTTCAAACTTTTTCTCCGGGCTACATTTTCAGAATGAAAATTTGCTTCTGCCTCACCAAATTTTGTGATAAAAAGTAAGGAAGATAACTGCAGATTTGAAGTTAGAACATTCAAATTGATAACTCTCTCCTCCAATTTGTGGACCCTAGTAACTATATTCTTCATATTTGGCATAATTCAAAAATATCAAAATGATAAAATTGGTCAATAATTATTTATAACTTTTTATACTGAGACTTCTGCATGCAATTACAAGTAATCCATAATATTTCAGATTTTGAAATCCTATTTTTGGCATGTGAATTTTTTAAAAACTGTTTCTAAATCTTTGTCTTTCAATCATTCTGCCTCACCTGCTATCCTCTTCCACTGCACATATGAGGTGCACTGCACTGTTTGGGAACCACTGCTCTATAATAAAGATGTGATTGTGCTGCATACATAGTTTTTTAACTAGAGAATTAAAACATTTAACACTTTCAGTGCTACATTGTTGCCTGGCTTATCTGGCACATGTTGGGGGGGGGGAATAGGAAATTGCCATTTACTAGAAATAAAGAACTATAGAGATGCTGAGGGCGATTTCTTAGGAGTGCTGTCATTTTGGTTTTGTTAGGATATTCTGCAATACAGCACAGCTAAATAACATCCTCCCCCCCCAACACAATATAGTAAAATACACCAGAAAAATGTCATATTGAACACTACTATCTGTTTATGCTGATTTGTAGATAACAGTAAGTGCTCTTTGGCGATCATAGCTCTCCACAATTTCCTGTCTTTTGTAGCTCTTAATATATTTTGTTATCTCTCCTAAACCTTGTTCTGCCAGCCATTTACTCAAGCTCTCTAGGTATGTTATGAGTTGTTTCCCCTCTGTCCCTCTTCCCTTCAATCTTTCTGTAAGTATCAGATTTTCCATGTCTCTTCAGGATGTTGGAGATCATGGCACTCCACAACTTCCTGTCCTTTGTATCTCTTAATAAATTCTGTCTTTTTTGTTATCATTCCTAAACCTTGATTTTCCATCCTTTTTACTCAAGTTTGTTTTTCTTCTCTGTGCCAAGTCCTTTCAGGATGTTGGCAATCATGGCTCTCCACAATTTCTTGTACATTTAGCTCTTGATAAATTTTGTCTCTCCTAAACCTTGTTCCACCGTCCCTTTTACTCAAGCTCATTTTTCTTCTTAATCTAAATGATTTAAAAAAAAAAAATTATGGAGTTCATTTAAGGCTATTTACATTTGAACTAATGTCCTCGTCTTTGTTGCTGTTATTACAATATTTTGGCTGTTGCATCCTTCAACCTTCTTTATTGTCTGTTGATCTGAAAATCTTTTAATCTACAAGGTAGATTGCTTTTGTTCTGCTGGATATCTAGTTTGTTGTTTTTTACCACTGCTCAGTTATTACTCATGCAGTTTCTACTGAGTTTGTACGACTCAGCAAAGGGATTGAATTCACAAGTACTGAGCCACTAAATTCATGAATCAACACTTTAATCCACTCAGCTGTTTTTCTGTGGATTGAGACTGAACTAAAACAATCCTCCTGAGTGTTGCTTACTCTGGTGTTTTTGTTATCCAAGAATAGGAAACTTGACCTCTTCTTTCCTTGGTGCAGTTACCTGGGTATTTAGTGTACCTGACATTTTTGAAAGTAGACCTGTGCTGTGGGTACATTAAATTTTGTAGATTTCTGATTGTAAGAGGTTATCTTTGATCTGATAATTGAGGGCTGATGAATGGATTGGCTGAAAAATTGTTAACAGCAAGTATATAAAGAACATTTGTGCATTTGAACAAGAGATGTGATAAAAGTTCATTGCTATGTTATAAATAAGTTTTTCGATGTTTAAATAAGAAGGAATATTGACAACTTTTAAATGAAAATAAATCTTTTAAGTATAATACTGTATTTTTAATGTCATGTATACAATTATAAACTTGCCTGTTGTATTTTTAAAATGTAAAATTTCTTTTCTCCAGGTTGGGTAAATACATTACTTGGCTGTCAGAAACAAGGGGCAAAGGGATTTATGTTCTTTACAGTGACTGTAGATTTGACTGAAGAAGGAATTGGTAAGTTTTGAAACTTCATTTTCAGCTTTCATTTTTTTAATTTTTTTTTTTTTTTTATTTTTTTTTAAAAAAGTATTTTTTTTAAAAAAAAGTATTTTTTAAAAAAAAAATTTTTTTAAAAAGTATTTTTTTAAAAAAAAAGTATTTTTTTTTAAAAAAAAGTATTTTTTTTTTTAAAAAGTATTTTTTTTTAAAAAAAAGTATTTTTTTTAAAAAAAAAGTATTTTTTTTAAAAAAAAGTATTTTTTTTTTTTCCCATTTGTTTCAAGTGTTTGATTTTACTGTTGTTCATATCACAGCATTTAATCATATTTACACAGATCGATTTAAAAGTTAATTCTCTACTTTTATTGTAGGGATGTTTTTGTCCATATGCCATAGCTTGCCATCTGTTTTGCTGTAAATTTTTGCTCTTGCTTTCCATATTGTCATCAGACATTTTCAGTATTAGCATTGTCAGTATTATCAGTATTGCTTGAAGTAGGTCTGAAGTATTCCTCAATCTCAACTTAACGTTTGGCAGCAGTACTTCCTGCTGATATAACTCCAGTCAGTCTTACCCAAAATAGTAGTGTAGATAAACTTGTCTGCAGTCCAAGTATTAATGAATGTGTTTTTTGTTTTTATAATCTAAATACTGCTCTTTAGCTGTTTGATCTAAAGCATTATTTGGCTGTCCATTAAGGAAAGAATCTTACAGGGTAACAACCCTGAAATCAACTTTGCGTAAGTAGAAATGTAAAAATGGCAATTGGAGGTTAAGATTTAAATAAACAAAATATGATTTGACAAATTCAACTATGTGAATTGTCATTTTCTGGGGCATGGCTAGGTAAAGTGAAGACATTAATCATTGTTATCAGGAAAGATTTCCCCATATAAGTCACTATGCATTTTGCTTAGCAGTTATTTTTTCCCCCCCACTCAAGCCGGCCACCAACAACTCGACCATAACCAGCAACCAAAAGAGAAGGGTTATTTTGCTCTGCAAAAGATCGATTTCATTATTTTTTTATTTATTTATTTATTTTTTTCTACAGAGATACAATGACAGAATTTTGGTCCAACTACTTAAAATTGCAATCAAGCAAACAGGTAGAACTAGAAAAAGGCTTAATCTCTGTTCAAGTGAAGCTGAACAGAGATTAAGGCTTTGCTGGCACTTGATCCTGGGCATGATATGATGATACTGACAAATTACCTGATCCACTTAGTTATATCTAGTGCAGCAAACCAACCAGTTGTAATTGAGTGCAGTGACAAGGAACTGACCATGCTCCCGGAACCCCTTTATAAGAACAATAAAAGAATAGGAATTAAGACAGAAGGTAACAATTGACATTACATTTAAAATTTTGAAGATCAAAGTTCACTGGGAAGGAAGAGGCTGAAAGAGATTTCCACAATCAAGAAGTGCAAGAGTTAGCATAGAATTTATAATTCTATCAACAATTTCAACCATAAAATGATGCTTACAGCCATGTCATGTTGGGACACTAGTTTTCTGATCACTGAAGTTAAGCAATGTTGAAACTGGCTAGTATCAAGATGGGTGACAACAAGGTGCTATAATGTGTGCGTGTGCAAATTACCATTCTAACCAGTAATATGATAATACAATAATATAAAAATCCATTACTTGGTTATCAGGTGGATATAATCAGGAACCAATAGTTATAACCTTATTGATACGATCCAGGATCTGAATGTATGTTTTTAAATATTTATATTAGATTGTTTATTTGCAAGAATAATTTTATAAGTGATTTTAAAAAAAAAAAAAAAAAAAAAAAAGTGGTGAGAGCCAATGACATATAATTAAATTACTCGTGTGTTTATATAAATTTTCTTGCTCGGACATTTTTATAAAAGAAAATTCTTTTGATATTTACTTCTTTTATAAAAGAAAATTCTTTTGATATTTACTTCTTTTATAAAAGAAAATTCTTTTGATATTTACTTTTATAAAAGAAAATTTTTTTGATATTTACTTTTATAAAAGAAAATTCTTTTGATATTTACTTTTATAAAAGAAAATTCTTTTCATATTTACTTTTATAAAATGTCAATAATAAATATTTGATTCGCAAGTATGAAGGTTAAACTTTGCCTAGCTATTTCATACAGATTTTTTTTTTTTTTCTATGTTCACAATTTATGTCTTTGTCCTTCCGTACAATATTAGCTCAGACTCCACAACCGGTGTCATGCATATGGAATTGTCTCACAAAAAAATTGCAGTTTTTTACACCAAAAATAAGAATTAGTCATTTGACTGTTTCACTCCTATAGAATTAGTAACTCCTGTACTCAACAGATAAATTGAATGTTAATTTCTCTCTCTCACTCCAGAACATGTTGATGACATTGTTAAACTCACTTTCCAATACCTTGAAATGTTACGTCAACAAGAACCAATGGAGTGGATATTTAAGGAATGTCAGGTAAGTTGTCAGTAATTTATCTGAGATTATTCCAAGAATAGCTTTATGGTACCATTGCTGATCACTAATTACTCTGGAAGAAAAAACAAGTTAGGAATACCTGAAGCATTTAAGGTGTGCTAGTCAAGACTGACTTAAGTATGGGTTATTTTTTCCAAAGAAGTCCTAGCAATTGACAGAAAAAAAAAAATCTGTGTCTTGATCATTAAAGGGATGATTAAAGTAACATAGCATTTATAGAGAAAATTCTAGCTTGGGTTTCTTACAATAACAATTTGAACTCTAGCTTGCTTGCCATAATTAGGTTTTTGAAGCGAGTATTTCAAAAACATCTGGTAGTAGAATTCAAATTCTGACTGAAACAGTTTACTTCACATTTTAATGTCCTTGGCAAAGGAACAAATTCATATCTGCAAACATGGCAAAAACAACCCAGCAGACCAAGCTCTCTAGCCTTGGTTGGCATTCAGTCTACAAGGACAATTCCAGAAAACGATAATTAAAAATCCATTCCTCTCTTCCAGCTCTGTAAAATAACCAAGCCCAACTCCCTACTTGGTTACATATACTTTTATGTATTAGTCCAGTGATTCTCAACCACTGTGCTGCAAAATATTGTCGTGTGTGTGTGTGTGTGTGTATATATATATATATATATATATATATGCACACACGTGTGTGTAGCAATGGTACAGCTTTTGAATAAATAAGTATTAAGCTTTTTCAAATAATTCTTTTCATACTTCGATTGTTATTTTAAATACTTTGTTTTTAATATACATTTTTTTAAAAAGTATTTTTTTTTTGTTTTTTTTTTTTTTTGTTTTTTGAAATTTAAAAAATATTTTTCTTCTATTTGAATAAATAAATATTAAACTATTTTTTTTTATATAATTTTTACAAAGTTATATTGAATTATGAATTAAGATTGAAAGTTTCTCATATGCAGCATTGAGCATTTGATTTAATAATTTTCCAAGTTTTTAAAAGTATATTACTCTGAAAATTTTGCTAAGTATGCCATTTTTTTGTATATTGCTCCTAGGTGTGCCATTGCTTAAATATTAATATATATGACATATAATAATAATGGACTCTCCCGTCGGTTTCGACATATGAGGATCTGACAGCTTAATTGATTCAGTTATGAAAGCTTGTGCGATAAGACCCTTAAGACCTGCAAAGAAGGCCTTATATGGAGCAAGCCTTCATCACTTGTGTGGGTTTTCTGGCGGTTTACCTTGACTCGTTCTTATATATATATATATATATATATATATATATATATATATATATCCTTAGTGGAAGGGAGATAACTCGAAATTATAAAGTAAGTGATAAAAAAAAATCTTCCACTTTATATTTCATGCTTGAAATTTTCATTTCAAAGTAGACAAGTATAAAGGGGGCAGTCGTAATGGTGCTCTGCACCCCCTACTTAATAACTGAATGTGTTGGGGTTTTTTTTTGAGGGGGGGGGTGCATAGTTATTTCATGCAGGGTTTTTTTTTTTCTATTTTCACAATTTATATCTTTGTCCTTCCTTACAGTCATAGCTCAGACTCCACAACCAGTGTCATGCATATGGAATTGTCACAAAAAATTGCAATAAGACTCCCTCTACAATCATAATAACCAGAGATATTTTTAATGTTATGCCTTTGCTCTCAAATATTGACTTTATATCTTTCTTTGAATTCTTTCCTATCAGGATCTTGGTGCCATGACTTTTAGGTTCAAAGATAAAGAAAAACCTCGTTTGTACGTCACCCGGTTATCTGGTAGCCTTCATGTAAGTACAGCTACAAATTGTTTTTAAAATTCATTTTCATTTTATACTATGTACACAAAAAATATTGGCAAACTTTAATAAAAACTTTAAAGGATTTATCTATGGTAAAAAAAAGATTTGGTCAAAAGTTGTGCTCAAATTCATACTGTAACATTACCTATTACTTATGGATCTTTTGATGTTTAATATTTGTATATTTTTAAAGAAGATAAATTCACTTTTGCATTCTTCTATTCAAAACTGATTTCTTCCTTTCAATTTGGGCACAGATATTTGAACAGTACAAAACTTAAGACCTGAAGTTGAGACATGTTGAAAATAATTATAGAAATATAAAAGGTGGTGCAAAACCTCTTAGGTTGATGTAAAAAGCTGGCCTTTCTCAAAGAGAATCAGATTATGACTATTTCCTACTACCAAATTCCATATCCTGACCTAAAACCATTAAGAAACACATGCAAAATCAATGGCAGGAACAATGGAGCAGAAAAACACAAAATAAATAAAAATAAAAATAAAAAAAACTGATAAAGGAGAGAGAGGTTACTATAACAAGACTACAAATAGTTCACACTAAAATTCTTACTGAAGCAAGAACGGTGATGGTGTCCTACATAAACCCAGTATATGGTAAAACATTTTCTAATTGAATCCATTGATCTTGAGTCCAAAAGATATAATTTTTTCAAGGAAAATGGCCTAAAAGAACTGTTAGAACTATTATATTTTTTTTTTTTTAATTTTATCTAAATTTAAAAAAAAAAAATTTTTAATTATTTTTTTTAATTAGGTTTTTTATTCATTAGTTTTTTTTTTTTTTTATTCATTTGTCAAAAACAACTTATTTAATTTTTTTTTTTTGTGTGTGTGTGTGTTTATTGCTATTGTTTTTTAATATCACACATTGTAATAACAGTAGCTTTGTTGTAAAGATGATACATTGTAAGAATCTGGATGCAAATTTACTGTGGAAGACTCAGAAATTAGAGCACTTTCTATACCAGTAGAATAATAATAAATAATAATAAAAAGAAAAAAGCATGTATATGACATTGGAACTCATTGTTAGGTATGCAGTCCTTAAACAGTAACATCTTAGAATAAAAAAAGTAATCAATTCACTATCATGATAAAATTAAAAAAAGTTACTGTCTCATAAAGCAACACACTCATAATTTCTGGACTATATTGTAGTCTCAAGGGTCAGCACTTTTCTGATGTTTCTTCTCTTTGGTTTTTCTTTTCCTCCACTTTAGAAGCCAATGTATCATTAGTATGTCTCTTTCTTTTGCTAGGATTATCCAATGCCTGATGTCCTCTGTGGACATGACGTGCTGCGTGAATTCCGTCCAGATCTAATAAAAATGATTTTAGATAAACTTACTCCTGATTTTGTCAGGTGAGTTCGGGTTTTTTTTACATTTTTCCAAATTTAATGAATTTTGTATTTAGCATCATTTATTTTTACTCATTAGCTGAATTATCAAGTTTTGCTAGAATAACTGTGGGACATGGATATAAGTGTTGATTAAGCATTGCAATTTACTTGATGGTGGTGATTCAATCCTTGGATCTTTAAAGTGGAATTGGTATCCTCTGATTCAGTGAAATCACGAGGATGAACTAATGACATACTTACAATCAGAAAGAGACAGATGAAGTTATACAGTGCAGTAGTTTTAGTGTCATTTTCAATAAATAATGCAAATTTAAGACATTTTATCTTATGTGTGTCTAACAGTATGATGGTGTTATATATACACTTTTATATATATTTTTTGTTTTTACTAATTACTGGCAGTAGACCCTGGCATTGCCTAGGGATGTAACAGTAAGAGATAGATCAAGTATCGACCATTATAAAGACTGAATAATAAAATTGACAAAGATTATTGTTTAAGGTTGCTGAATGTAAAAATAAAGAAAAAAGTATGCAAGACAATAAGAAACACTACCTGCCAAAAAAAAAGTGAAGTTTTGTTAAAATCGGTTGAAAAATGTAGGAAATCCGATCCCATATATAAATGGACACACACACAACCAACCTGGGTTTTATAATAAGTATAACTCGATATGAGTTGTTCCCCTTTTTATTCTGGCGACAGAATTGTGTTTTAAGTGTTTTCAAATTGATTTCGTGCAAAAACAATTGTTTTTCCAATTTTTGGCACTGTCAGAACCACCGCAAAGTAATTTTACGCAGTCCTGTGAAGTTTTGTTGAAAAATGTTGGAACTCCGATCCAATATATAAACATACAGACACACACACACACACAATCTACGTTTTATAATAAGATGATCTAATAATTCTTATTCATTAAGTAGCCTTTTTTGTAATCTTGAAATTATTTTTTGAATACAGTAAAAAAAAAAAAAAAATTGCATATTTTGCTTGTGTTGATTCATAATTAAAATTTTGGTTAGAATATATTTTCCATTCAATGATGTATCTAATACAAAATATATCCACTTTATTTGGATTTATTCTTGAAATAGTAAGATTTTTAAGTCATTTTCTAAGCAAAAAAATCTTTGGAAATTAGGTATTTCTGTACATTTTTTCAGATGATTTTTTTTTTTTTTTTTTAACTGCTCAATAATTGGTAAAAGCTATATGTCTAGTTTTTGGTGACACTTATCACATACAACTCGGTTTTCATATCAAGTGCAATGTAGATTTTCTAAAAAAGTGAAAAATCAACCTGCTCTATTGGACAGCAGAATGAGAAGTCTAATTGATTGAATAAAGTGTTTGGTTCAAAATTCCAAGGTGGCTACCAAATGCAACAGGCTTGTGAAGGAGGCCAAAAAATACAGCAGCCAAAACGTCCATATAACAATGTATGTGAACAACAGTTTGAATAAAATTATGATAATTCCTCATTTCAGAAAATAATCTGTAATTTGGATAACATAATGTCTTTAGTTATTACAGTTTCAATTTGTATTAAACTGAAATACTTGATTAAAATAAATCTTTTTGCTTTGTTGTCAGGATTGTTGTCATATCAAAACATTTTGAAGGCAAGACAGACCAGAAGGAATATTATTATGGAACTGATTATAAGGTTGAAGAAATTGAAACGCCAACATTAGAGGTTTGTTGTTTTTTTTTATTTTTTATTTATCAGTGGCAAAAAAAATGACTGTATTGCATTATAAATCCCAATATAAGCAGAAATTGCAAGATTTTTCAAAATGCCTGGGTTTATTTTAACCAAATTTTGTTTAATGGGTAAAAGTATCTTACGTCTAAACAAGATGTATGGATTCTTTTTAATCAAATTATATAAAAATTATCAATGTGTGTTTATTTATAGATTTCCTGTTCTATTTGTAAGGGAGGTAAATCAACTTTAGTTAGTAAATTTATGAGTGATTACTTCCCTTAGGCATTTTAATCTATACACATAAAACATTTATAGTAATTGAGACAAAATTACTTCCTGAGCAAAATGAACCATTTAATTAATCTGTTCCTTTATTCTTACATTTACATTTCTGAGATTGCGGTGTTATTTGTTCAAGCCTTGTATGTGAGGCACTCAGATAGCTTTGTCTATTAAGTTGATTGTCTTGCTTCAACTTGGTCTTGAAATAGGCTTTGTCATTTTGTTGCTAATCTTTTTCTTCTGAGAGATATTTTCATTTCACTGTTATATTCAGCACACAAAATTTTTTAACATGAAAAGATATTGAGCAAAAAGGGATTTATATAATACCAAGACTAATCACTGAATCCTAGATATCATTGAACATCTAAAATTTATAAAGAGTATGGATTAATTAAATGGTTTCTTGTCCTCTATTTTAGTTAAGAATTCTTTATTTCCACTTATTGAATCTCAATATATTGTTTCAAGACTTTTTTTTCATTGTATTTCACTATTAAAACTTTCTAACAATTGCCATCACTTTTTGAGAATAAAGATAGTGGTTTTTTGTTGCCTTTTCTTCAGTCCTTTTCCTAGATCTTTAGGGTTCAATCTATTTTGCTATTTAACCTATAGCTGGTCAGAGAACAGATGGATTCAGAACCCTTTTCTAAGAGTATTAGTGTGAAAATGTAAACATTTTTTTTCTTTTGCAAGAGTATTTGTATGAAGTGATCATAACTTTACATAATATTCAAACACTTTTGTGATAATATTGTTTATTCTTCTGATAAACAAATAGCTATTTCCATTTTTTTAAATATCCTTACATTCTTATATAAGATCAATACTTTGGTTTCTCTTTACACCCCCCACCTCATGCTTTTTAGTAGTACGTACATTTTTTTATCTGTCTTCATTTATGGTGTGTTTTTTTTTTTTTTTTTTTTTTTTATTCACTTGGTTTCTTGGTTTTATTTTTTTCTGAAATGCACAAATTATGCATTATTGTTGATTGGTTCAACTTCAAATCTGACTTGAAAGTTTTCTTTCTTTTTTTTTTTTTTTTTTTGGTTTCTGGCAATGGAAAGTTGCCAAATTTTGAAATGCACAAATTATGCATTATTGTTGATTGGTTCAACTTCAAATCTGACTTGTCATTTCCTTGCATTCTACAGAATTTTCTTTCTTTTTTTTTTTTTTTATTCACTTGGTTTCTTCTCTGGAAAGTTGCCTTTATTTTTCTGAAATGAAAAATTATGCATTATTTTGATTTTTTCAAATGAAATTTCTTGCATTCTACAAATTTTTTTTGCATTTATTCACTTGGTTTCTGGCAATGGGTTTCAATTTTTTCTGAAATGCAAATTATGCATTATTGTTGATTGGTTCAACTTTGACTTGTCATTTCCTTGCATTCTACAGAATTTTCTTTCTTTTTTTTTTTTTTTTATTCACTTGGTTTCTGGCAATCTCTGGAAAGTTGCCTTTATTTTTTCTGAAATGCACAAATTATGCATTATTGTTGATTGGTTCAACTTCAAATCTGACTTGTCATTTCCTTGCATTCTACAGAATTTTCTTTCTTTTTTTTTTTTTTTTTATTTTTCTGAAATGCACAAATTATGCATTGGTTTGGTTCAACTTCAAATCTGAATCTTTCCTTGAAAATTTTCTTTCTTTTTTTTTTTTTATTCACTTGGTTTCTGGCAATCTGGAAAGTTTTATTTTTTCTGAAATATTGTTGATTGGTTCAACTTCAAATCTGACTTGTCATTTCCTTGCATTCTAATTTCTGGGTTTCAATCTCTGGAAAATTGCCTTTATTTTTTCTGAAATGCACAAATTATGCATTATTGTTGATTGGTTCAACTTCAAATCTGACTTGTCATTTCCTTGCATTCTACAGAATTTTCTTTCTTTTTTTTTTTTATTCACTTGGTTTCTGGCAATCTCTGGAAAATTGCCTTTATTTTTTCTGAAATGCACAAATTATGCATTATTGTTGATGGGTTCAACTTCAAATCTGACTTGTCATTTCCTTGCATTCTACAGAATTTTCTTTCTTTTTTTTTTTTTAATCTCACTCAAATATTGTTTGTCAGCATTTTAGCAAATTTATTATTTATTTCAGTGTTGGAAAAATTGTGGTCTACATGAAAACCTGAAACTTCCTATTCCCAATGAGTTCATTCCAACCAACTTTGAGATTTTTGAACGTGAGAAAGATGTAAGTGTCACTGCTTCAGTCTTTTCCTCCAAGAATGCCAAATTAATGTCATCAGTTTAAATGCTTTGAGTAATCTAAAACTTTTTATGTATTTCCCTTCTTGGTTACAAGAAAGAAAAAGAAAATGGTTTTGTTGAAGAGGTTTTAAGATTCTGATGTTTAGAAAGTATAATCTTTATAGTTTTATGTAAAAATAAATTTTTCTCTATCTGTCTATATTTCTGAGATGAGGTATTCTAATTATTTACATTATTTGGACTGTTGTCCTCCTCTTTATTGCCATATTCACAACATTTCGGCTCTTGTACGCACTAGCCTTCTTCAGGTGATTGGAATTTTGAACTGAACCTTTTATTATGTTTCATACAATATAGGAAGCAGTAATAGAGTGCTAAAGAAAAGCAATAATAACAAAAAAAAAATGCTTACGGAGACATAAGTCTCAAAAATTCATACACTGATGTCCTCAAGAACACATGGCCTGGTGGATAAGTTTTGGTTGGATCTAGTGATTTCATTCATTGAGTTGTGAGTTCAATACCTGGCGACTTCAGTGGTGAACAAAAATGGAGATAACTGAAACATCTGGAAGAGGCATGGCACGTGGAACTAAAACAATCTACCCTGGAAGAAATAAAGGGTTCAGATACAAATTTTAGTCAACATTGCCCGAAAAAAGTCAATTGTAGTATTGTTAAATTTCTAAAATAATAAGACCATATTGTGGACACTTTGGCGTGTGAGAATAAACACATACTCAACTAATATATAAAAGCTTGAAGTGGGCACCTCGAGGCGGTGTAATGGTTAGCAAGCTTGTCTCACTAGAACAATTACAACAGAGTCGTAAGTTCGATCCTCACTGGGTGCCCCATACTTTCGGCCTTGTGCCACATCTAAGATACGCTTAGAAAATCACTATAAAAGCTTGAAGTTTGTGTGTTCACTCAAAATCCTGAGAATTAAATAATAAAGTTCCTGTGTGTATCTGTGTGCAAATATTACATCAAACTGGTACACCAAATATAATTTTTTTATAAAGGTAAAAAAAAAAACTGTCCAGAAAATATCAATGGATGGACATGACAATGCCAGAACTCCTGAGAGCCAACAGATCATCTTGGAGGAGGTTGTCTGTTTCTTCTAAATCCCCACTGATGATTGAAGCAGTCAAGGGACTGATTTATCTGCATGCATGTGTGGGAATTGGGACAAAAACTGCTCATGCTACCTTGGCATTTTCCTTTTGTGGATGCTTCAGGTATAGATTAAGCATCAACTTCCTCTTAGTGGGGACCCTCCGTAGCTGAGTGTAATAATAATTGTAAACCCACACAAAAATTTACCAACTTAACAATTCTTGCTTAATGGTGATAATTAATTTGCATATTCAGCTTTTAAAAATCATTAAAAAAAAAAATTTGAAGTTCACTTCCAGTCTGGCCGTCTGCAGTCTTAATAATAAATGTAACCCCATAGAAAATGCAGTTTTATATTAAGCAGTGTGTGTCTTATATCTTGCCCAACTTCTTAGCTCTTGTTTAATGGTGATAACTAATTTGCATATTCAGCTTTTTCATGTGGCACATTTCATTCTTTAGGACTTCATTGGACTAAAGCGAAAAGGGCAAAATGTGTTACATGGAAATTTCGAAACAGCTTAAAAAGAGCTTTTTTTTTTCTTTTTTTTTTTTTAAACTTTCGTTGAAGCAAATCAAAGTCTAATTCTCATGCCAAATTACACTTGATTGCGAAGGTTTCCAAGTAAGACACGCTCTTTAAAAAGTCTTGTTAGACATGCTAGATTGAGTTAGTTTGTCCCAGCACCTTCTTTTCCAACTGGGTGGCCTCAAGAAAATCTCAGTGCCAGGCCTTGAAAATTATCCCCCTGGTACAGCCCCATGGCAATGAAAGAGTGAAAGAAGCATTGACTAATGAGCAAGAAAGCCAGATTTATTTTCTCTCAAATTTTTTTAGTGAGGTTATTGACTTGGTTGCGAGCAGATGGCTTTTAAAAAATTGTAAAAGCTGGTACAGGGTACTTTTTGGACGCATTGTACCCTGTCACTGATGAGTAGTTAGCAACATTTCCCTGCTGGAGACAATAAAATTTTGCCAATACAGATCCCACCCATTGGGCTATTTATTATTACAAGAAAAACATTCGCCTAGCAAAAAGCTAGCTTTTGACTTTCAGTGAGAAATCGAAACTGACTTTGGCATATTAGCTTGAAGATTGCCAATGCAATATACTGCAAAGTGATGCCTGTAGTTCACCAAACATTAGTTCAAGTGACAGAGGATATAGTAACAGTGCTACATTTAACCCTTTTGCACTCAACATAAATTTACATCTAGAATCCTGCAACATCTTTTTATGTGGGATATTTAAAAACAACAATGGGAGAAAACTGAATGAAGTTATTCTAGGTTATGCATCTAGATACATTTTGATCTTTGAAAATTTAAATGCATTGTCAAACATAATTTTTCTTAATTCATGTTCTTTTATTGTCCTCTCTCTTTATTATTTTTTTTTTTTTTCTCTTATTCATTCACACTCAGTAACCCCTTGTGACTTAATGGCTTTATTGCCTAGCTTGGTGTTTTTTTTTTTTTTGTTAAATTGAATGCCAAAAATTTAAAGTTATGCTTCCCTGTTTCTTGATATAATATTGTAACCGGCATTTATTGTATTTCTTTCCCTCCCCTTATGACTACATTGATAAGGCCATTGTGTTAGTCCTGAAGAAGTTTCCCCTATTTCATTCTTTGGAAAGATAGGATTTTTTTTTTTCATTTTTGTTGTTTAATTACTCTCTCAAGAGAGTACAAATTTATTTATTTTTCTTTAATTTTACTTTGCAGTCAGCAGCTCTACCAGAAATAATTAAGGTAAGAAAAACCTTTTATCTTTTTTAAAACAAAGATTTTTTTATTTAACCACCTTTTCAGGGTTTAACTAGTGCATGTGATTTTTTTTTATCTCATAAAGAAAGAAAGAAACAACTTATACAAAGAATTAAATAGCAATGTTAAGGTGATTATTGGCGAAATCACTTTGCTAACAAGACTTAATGAGACATTAACTTAGTATCAATTCCTTTCCAATTTGAGTAGATGTCAGATGGAAGACATGCTGAGTACTTTCAACAATTTCAGATTGTCATCTATTATTGAAAGTATTCAGTATATGTCTTCCACCTAACATCTATTCGAATATAAGGATCTTATTATTCAAGGAATTCATAGTAAGTTAATGTCTCATTAAGTCTTGTTAGCAAAGTGATTTCGCCATTAATCACATTAACATTGCTATTTAATTCTTTGTATAAATTGTTTATTTATGATATAATGAATAAGCTTTATTTACATTATTTTCAAATTTGTAGATTTTTTGTTAATGTCAATTCCAGGTGTTAATACTGAGTATTAAAATATGGTGCTACCGCTACCTGAACTGTGAGTGCCTGAAACTTACGGGTGCATATCTGTGCTTTTCGTCTGAAAGTTTAAAAAAAAAACAAAAAAACGGAATCAACCATAGTCTGATCTTTGAGAATGTGTATGATCCTTTCATTAGCTGCCTTGTATTTGCTTTGTCAAGGCTACATACAGTTTTGAATTCAGTTTTCCTTCTCCTAGACTGGTTGCCACCCAATGCTATAGAACCCAGTAGGTTCTACTATTTACCTATAGCTGGGGAGAGAAGAGTTGGATTCATAGCTTTCCCAAGGATATTAGCATGTAAGTGAATGTAATGAACTTGATTGGAATTTGAATTCTGGCCTCAGATTCCTCAATCTGAGTTGCAATCCATTATACTACCATGCATCCTTAATAACTTAACTCAAATTTGTTTCTGTCATTTAGTTTTGGATTTATTTTTTACCTACCGTGTTTATTTTATTTTATTTTTTTCTCCTCTGTATTTCAGGACTCAACAATGTCTCGGTTATGGTTTAAGCAGGATGATAAATATTTTCTCCCAAAGGCATTTTTGAACTTTGAATTTAGAAGGTAAGTTAAATTTTACCTTAGATAGAAAGGAAATTATTTAGTAGTTAAAATCTACTAAACAATACCAATATATTTTTTTGAATGAGAAGACTTAAATTATTTACCTAGAATTAAATTTTAAAATAGATCTCATTATTAGCTATAATGTTGCAACATCAATGCAAATTTTAAGTGACTAGAGACAATTGTTTTCCTGTTCACTTCAGTGGATATATTCATTCTGAAAAGGACTTTTAAATTTAATTTATTGAATTTTTTTTATTATTAAAACATGAATAACTTTACCAGATATTTTGATGAAATTTGTATCCTTTCACCTTCCCACAAAATCTCGTGTAAATGTGCTAGCTGCTTTGACAGAAATGCAAAAAACTCTTACATCCAATCTAAAAACACATCACTTTATTTCATGATCTTTCTCAGTGTCACATTTGTTTTAGCACTAGTATTAGTAGCAGCAATATTCTTCATTTTTTTATTTATTTTAAAACAAAATCTTCAAATGCTGTACAAAACCAGTAACTAAGAATTTTGTTACTTAAAAAAAAATACTTTTAAATAGGAATGAATTTAAGAAATGTTTCTTTATTTTAAACTTCTAAAAATTTTTTATTTTTAAATTCATTTAATTTTAAAATTTTTCAGCCTGCTTTCAAATGTCGACCCGGTGCATACTAATATGACAAAATTGTTTGTGTTTGCATTCCGAGATGCCCTTAATGAATACACTTATGCTGCAGAGATAGCTGGGCTTTATTACACTCTTGAAAACACTTTGTATGGATTGTCGGTGAGTGTCTTGATGATATTACATCATTATTTCTTACTTTGTCATGTTGGTAATGCATTGCCATATCACATATAGCCGGGGGTAATTTTAGAATGATGTAGCTATCGCATGTGCATAGTGGCAGTTTTTGAGTCAAAACTTTATCCAGATCCTTTGTTGACAGGTAAGAACAAAACTTTTGAAGAGAGAAGAGCTGAGTTGTTAGACCAACAGAGCAGAAGTTGTCACAAATATCACCTGCCTATGCAACAAGGCCAACAAGCAAATCCCTGAATAAAACATCTACATATAATATGGGAAACAGGATTTGCATTCTTATTTTTTGATGTGATGTTTTTCTTTCATTGTGTTACTTTGTGAGCATGCAGCAGGCCCTTTCCCAGCTTTTGATGCAACCAGATGAGATTGAAAATCAAAAGGCAATGTCATGTAATCATTGGCTGGTAGGTGGGAAATGTTTACATTTAAATCCCAGTGTTAAACACCCAATTCAAAAATTGGAAAGATTTAATAAAAAGGTTGAATAGACAGATCTTGTTGGAATTTAATAAAACTTGATTGGGTTGTGTGGCCATGTGCATATATATAGTTTGGCATGAAACGCTGAGTAGTGGATTTGATATTATTATATTTAGGCTGTGTGATTTTTGTCATTGAGCTCTCGGTTTATTTTATATTAAGGTTTTACTCTCACTATCTGATTATGTATGTGTGTATAATATATAGTGCTTGTGTTAATAAAACAGTGTTTGATGTAATTTAACAGCTATTAATTATATATATTGATAAATATGCATATCCATGACACACACATATATATATATATATATATATATATATATATATATATAAATTATTTTTATAAAAAAATTATAACATAAGTATGTTATAAAATCACTACAAAAAAAAAAATTTTATTTTATTTTCAACATCATGTCTTGATAAGAGTGATGATGTTGAAAATAAAATGGCTATTTTTGTAGTGATTTTATAACATACTTATGTTATAATTTTTTTATAAAAATAATTATATCTGCTCTACTTTGTATTGAGCACTCTTAAGAATAGTAATTGTTGGTTATTGAATTCATTCCATATATACCAATTATATACTTATATATATATATATATATATATATATATATATATATATATATATATATTGATTAACTTAGATATCAATTTTTTTTTTTTTTCCTGACTTCAAAGTTTCTTGGTAATTTTCATTCTTCAAGAATTCTTTAGAAATTTAAAACTAGAAGAAAAATCTTTAAAAAAAAAAATTACAACTGAAAAAATGACGATGTAAACTAAAGCAAAAATTCATGAATGTGCACATGTACAAAACGGATTGAAAAAATTGGAAATATCATTTAAAAAAACAGAACTCCTTGAAGAATGGACATTAATTACCAAGAAACTTCCAAGTCGGGGAAATCAACAAAAAATTTAAAGTAATCTCTTTATATAATATTATTAATGCTGTATTTTTAATATTTTAATATTGAGAACTATATATATAAAAATGTTTCTTTTAAATCTTTTTATACACACACACACACACACGTGTGTGTACACACACAAAATGTACATGATCTTTTGAATGACAATAAATGCAGTGTTTATTGACTTGCAATCAAAACTTTAAAATTAAGAAATATTAATGTTTATTGACTTACAAAAACAAAATAAAGTTTAGATTAAAAAGTTTAGTTTTATAATAAAGTTTAGATTATAAATATTTAAACTGACAACAGTCAAAAAGTGATCACATTTTTGTAAGGGAAACTATACATGCCCTTTTTTAGTGTATTGAACGAAGACTCTGGCTTTCCCAAGGTTTGTAAGGCACGATAATGTGGCCTGCCACATTATCGTGCCTTAAATTTGAATTTAGGCTTCTAATTAAAAATGTAAGAAGTTTTTTTTTTTTTTTTTTTTTTTTTTACGTGTATGAGAACAGATCTGAAGAATGTACATGTCATTCAAATGTTTATCTTGCATTTTCAATCATATTTCTGGCCATTGTCATAATCGGAAACATCTCCCCAGCCAATTAATTTTAATTTTATCATTTGTTATTGATGACAGAACAACCAAAGTCTTCACTGGGCTAAATGTATCCATCAGTTGTTAAATACTCTTAAAATCTTAAATTGAAGATCTTTATTTTATTACTTTTATTTTATATCCAAGATCTTTCACCTTTTCCCTTTTTGTTTTCCAGCTATGTGTGAAAGGTTACAATGATAAACAATTTGTGCTCTTGAAGAAAATAATGGAAAAACTTGTCAACTTTACTGTGGATCCAAAACGTTTTGCAATTCTTAAAGAATTGGTGAGTATGCGTGTTATTACTTTCATTTCTATTTATTCTTTCTTCTGCTTTATATTATGTCAGTACAAACAGGCTAGAAAAATATACAATTGCCATAAAGTAGGTAAAATGAAACGAAATAAAAATGCCAACTATTGTTCATAAGTTGTATGGTTTTCAGGCACGTTCCAATGGTGCCATATGTTGGGATCGTCTCCCTTGGCCGGACAGAACATATATATTAAAAAATGAAATATAATATGAGCTTACTTCAGTGAAAAACTAGTAATGATTTATGAATGCTGTGCAACATTGAGTTGTTTATATTCTGCACTTTGTTCTCACTTGTGTATTTCTTTTTTTTGTCGTCGTTGCAACTCATTTTATTTATTTTGCAACCCACTGTTTGAAAAAACCCTGTTTTAAGTAAGGCTTCTTGTTTTATTCCAGTATGCCCGTTCATTGAGTAACTTCAATGCTGAGCAACCACACCAACATGCCATCTATTACATGTTCATGTTAATGAATGAACAATTCTGGAGCAAAGACCAACTCTTAGAAGCTGTTGAAGGTTTGTATTTGCTAAGACTGTCATGTTCAAACTTTGGGATAACCTATTTAAACCTATTTATTTATAAAAATTACAAGTAGCATAAATTTATGTTAAAAAGAAAAGTTAATTTTTGAAATTTCAATAATGGAATTTGTAAAAGAAACAAAAAGGCATTAGTTTTAAAAATGACATTTTACAACTATCAGATCATCTCATAAGTTCTGTCCGAATTTTAACTTTTTGTTAAAATGAACAAAATTTAAAGAGTATTTTATAATGTCTAATGGAGCTGAACATTATTTTTATGTTTAGATGCATTTAAACTGATCAAATTTAATTTCAGAGAACAATAAAATTAAATTTTGTTTGATTAAAACCCTGCTAACATGGAAGTACCCAAGAATCATTTGAGGCACATAATGCTTTATGAGTTCAAGAAAGGAAACTCAGCAGCCGAAGTGGCTAAAAACATTCACTCTGTTTATGGAGAGGAATGTGTGAATGAAAGAACTTGCAGAAGATGGTTTGCAAAATTCAGAGGTGGAGATTTCACCCTTGAAGAAGATCAAACTGGACGTCCAGTTGAGTTTGATGAAAAGCTTCTTGAAGCAGCCCTTGAAGAAAATCCTGCTTTATCAGTTGAGGAATTGGCAGTGGTTCTGAGTTCAAACCATACAACTGTTCATCGTCATCTTCAACAACTTGGAAAAGTTCCTAAACTTGGAAAATGGGTGCCTCATGAATTGTCTGAAAACAACCTCAAATCCCGAGTTGACATCTGCTCTTCTCTCCATTCTCGCCAACTTGTTTCACTTTTTTGGATAGACTTCTGACTGGCGACGAAAAATGGATCTTTTATCGAAATGTTAAGCATCGTAGACAGTGGCTTGGTAAAGGGGAAGGACCCCAGCCACAGCCAAGAAGGGAACTTCATGGGCAAAAGGTTCTTCTTTCAATCTGGTGGGATCACCAAGGAATAATCCACTTTGAATTCTTACCACCTAATGCAACAATTAATGCTCAAATATACTGTCAGCAATTAGAGCGTTTGAACCAAGCTTTGAGGAAAAAAAGACCTGCTCTAGTGAATTGAAAAGAGGTGATGTTTCATCAGGACAATTTGTGACCTGACAGCAAGAATCACATCACAAAAGATCAAAGAACTTGGTTGGGAGAAAATTCCTCATTCACTTTATTCTCCCAATCTTGCTCCTTCAGACTACCATTTGTTTTGTCGCTTACAGAATGATTTGGAAGAAATAGCTTTTGTAACACAGGAAGAGGTTAAAACTGACATTTGTGAGTTCTTCGAATCAAAGCCAAAAGAATTTTACAGTAATGGAATTAGTAAGCTTGTTAATAGATGGAAGGAAGTCATAGATAATCAGGGAAAATACATTGTTGATTGAATCTGTAATTAAATGTAACATATGGTGACTTGTTTTCTTTATTCAAAATTCGGACAGAACTTATGGGATGACCTGATAAGTCTCTTAAATATTTTTAGAGGAAACTTCATCAATTGTTTTAGTTTGTATTTATTTATTCAGTTACGTTTTATTGCAACTCTCAGGTCAGCATTTTACAATCACTAGCAATCTGTTTTCACATGGTAGCTACCTTACGATTTAAACCATAGAAACCTTTCAGCTGCAGTCTTTAAAACAGACCATAGCCAACCTTTTTTGAGCAGTGGACTGCATGATCTATGGCTCATGACAAGGTGGGTCTCACTACTAAAAAGATTCAAAGTAATTTTTCGTAGGAGGTACCTTGCCTATTTTCATTACAGAAGACCATATTTTCATTTTAAGACACAAGAGGTTACAGGATGTGAAAGAATTAGAAACAGAAATATTACTAATGAGAGGAACAAAAAAAAAATTATCAGGAGGACAGGAGATAGCACAAGTCATTGCAAAAAAAAAAAAATAATGTCAAGTAGTATCTCATAAGATGGTATTTATCAATTCACCCACAGGAATTGAATGTGGCACAAGGCCTTTTTAATGTGGGTATGTCTGAGCCCGTAGGCCCAGCCAAAAATAAAACCCATCTAAACCCGTCCAAGCGGGCTAGTTCCGTCAACCTCCCCCGAACGAAACCCCACCCTTCGGGAGCCTCGTCTGGGGTTCCTCTCTGCAAGCAGAGAGTTCGACAGACACCCGACCCGGCAGCTCACAAAGCACAGATACTACACTTTGATCCTAGCCACCGGGCCGAGCGGGTATTCTTTTTATAGATACAATCATTTGGTATACAAATGACAATTGGAAAAAAAAATCTTAGATTTTGCTGACGCGTTTTGTCTTCTGACTTTTTCAAGGCAAAAATGAAATCGAAATGTTTTTGTTGTTATAGTTACATTAAAATTTAAAAAGATAGATGCTTGTGTCTAAGCCATTTTTTTTTTTCTGGTTAATGTAAATTATATTTATAGTAAGGGGTTATTATTATTATTTTTTTTTTTGCCTTGAAAAAGTCGGAAGATGAAATGCATCGCCAAAATCTAAGATTTTTTTCCAATTGTCATTTGATACCAATCTGTCTTGTCCACAGAATTCTTCTGGGAATTTAACTATACAATCATTTGTTTCTGTAGTATTTTTCAATTAAGATGAAAAAGTATTTTGTTGTTTAAAGTTTTGTTTTTTTTTTAAATTTTCAAAATAAGCAATGGGTTTGTTCACTTTGTCAGGATGTTTTATGTTTAAATGCTCTAAAAACCTTGACGTAAAAAAAAAAAAAAAAAAAAAAAAACTTTCATCACTTCACTAGAAAATGAGCTGTTGCAAATAAGACATATAGATTGCCTTTGATCAAACGAGTTTTTTGCAAAGCTATAAGCCAAATACTCCTCTATATACTCTCTACATTTCTTTTTGGCACTCCTGATTAAAGAAAAATAGGCTAAAAATATAGGCACCAAGACAACTGGCTGTCAGGAAAACTTGATTTTTTTAAAATTTTTTTTTTTTATTTTTATTTTTTACTTTAAAATAAATAAAAATATAACTTTTTTATTTTTTACTTTTTAAAATTAATACAAATGATTTAAATTTAATAAATACTGGTTTTTAATTTTTTAAATTTATATAAATAAAAAGAGCAAAAAAAATTCATAACCTTTTTATTTTTTATTTTTTTTTTATATAAAAATTAAAATTTATTAATTTAATTATGTTAAAACCCCAAAATTACAAATTTCAAAATTCTAAAAAATAAAGTTGTTCTGGTGGCAAGTTGTCTCTGTGTGTTATGTTGTCCTGGTGCTGAGTTGGCAAGTGCAGAGTTGTACCCTCTTGAAAAATATGGCACAGAAACAATATTTTCAACTCAAAAATATTGTCACTAACACTTGATCTAATTATTAATATTATCACTGTGACTATACCAACATGAAAATCTGTCATCATCTATGTCTCACGATTATTGTTCAAACACTGCATTGCAATGCACAATTCAGTGAGTGATAGCAGATAATGCTTGCTACCAGATACTGAATGAAATATTTCTACTAGATTTCTGAATGAAATGTTTGAATCATTGAGAGATGTGCAACTGTTTTACGAAAAAAGTATTTCTGTTGGACACAGTATGATGAACTATCATTAAAAATAATTTATTTCATCGTTAAAGGGTTAGTGTCTTAATTTCATAAACAGTTGAGGAAGTACAAATTTAGAAACGTTTATTAAAACATAAACTCGTAATTCTTATTTCCGAATGTTTTCACCTATGAAAGAAAAGAACTGTGAAAACTTATGCCCCACCCTCGCCACCTTCAGAAAAACATTTTTTATGTTTGTTCTTTTTATAGATACAAATATTTAAGTAAATGCTCTGTTTATAATAAACAGCATTAACAACATTTACAGGCCAGTAAATGTCATTAATACTGTTTATTATAAACAGAGCATTTACTTACATTCTTTTTATAAATACAAATATTTATGTATGTATGTGTATATATATATATATATATATATATATATATATATATATATATACACACACACACACACACACACACCTTATTTACATTATTCAGCCCTCATCTTTGTTGCCATATTTATTATGTTTCGGCTGTTGTACGCTCCGGCCTTCTTCAGGTGGTTGGCATGTCGAACTGAACCCTTTCGCTCACTGGGGTAGACTGTTCTAGTTCCATGTGCCATGTTTAATGGATGTCAGTTATCTCCTGTTAATTTCCCTCTGCCTTAACCGGGTATTGAACTCGCACTCTTTGGGTCCTGTCACTGGATCTAACCAACGCCTTTATCCACTGTGCCATGTGTCCTGACAGGCGTTGGTTACATAGAGGCTATAAATTTTGAAATTTGCAACAGTCAGTTTTAAATTTGTGCTTAATGATTGGCAAGTGCATGAGACCCAGTTGCACCAAATGGCAAGGAACAAATATATACTTATTGTTTTTTTTAATAGACATGAGATTTTCATATAAAGTTTTGTTCTTTTGCAGATATCACCTGTGAACAGTTACAGGCTTTCATTCCACTTTTGTTGTCCAAAATGTACATAGAAGGCTTGGTTTATGGAAATACAACAAAAGAGGTAAGATAACCATTAAAGAACTCTTATTAGTTAATTTTTTTTTCCCTTTACCTATTGTTTTGCATCTCTTATTTATTATTGTTACAAAATTATCATGTAATATGTAAGCTGTGTTCAACAGTTGGAAATCGGAATCAAGTTTTCTTTTGAGATTATTTGTTTTGAATTTTAATTTTATAAAAATTAAATAGATTGGAAATATTGACAAAAAAAATGTCAGTAAAAAAAAAAAAAAAAAATTCTTTAGAATAATGCCTTAGATATTTTGTACTGAAAAGAAGAAATATGTGTTGTGCTTTTAAAAAAAAAAAAAATTTGTCAGTGTTTCCTGCTTATCTCCCTTGGTTTTTACACTAATTCTGTTGTCTGAATTTCTTAGATGAAGCATTGTCAATTAATAGTCATATTTTGACTGGTATTTATTTTTTAATAATTTAGGGGTAGGGTACAAAGTTATATAAAAACATTAAAACAAGTGGAGGAAGAGCAAGGGAAAAAAATTGATTTCTCCTAAAGTGGTAAAACAAAATATAACAAAGAAAAACAAAAGAAATTTTAAAAAAGAACTGAATTGCTCTTCACTCTTCAGAGCTCAATCAATGGCAAAAAATATAAATATGTGCATAATGACTAAAATAAAATGGTAGGGGTCAATATTACCATGGAATCATCACAAATATGCTATCTGTTTGTGACTTGATGCTGATTCTCTGGTAATTTTTTTTTTTTTTTTTTTAGTTTTCCACTTTACACTTTATGGTAAATGACATTTGCTCTTTGCCTTTCCTCTCTTTATTTTAATGTTTTTATGGTAAGACTATGACGAAGCGGAAAACTATTTTCGTGTAACATATTTCATCCTTTCAGACATAATCAGACTAAATTGATGTTTACGTTGATGTGATTACACATGTGCATGAAGGAGAGGATATGCTGAAATTTTAAATTTCATTTGTTTTTATTTTTTTATATGTTTAAGTATACAGTCTATCTGATTTCTTTTAGTTTCTTTTTTATTTGTTTTTATCATTATTGATATTACGTATTTTTTTACACATATTTTAAAAAGTATATATTAACATATCCATTTTTCAAGCTATAATTTCTTTCTCTTTTGTTTACAACTTTCTGATCATAACATAAGCAGAGCATAGATTTGGACAAATTAAGATAAATACATATTATGCCTATTGTTGATTTTTATTTTTGTCAGATGCTAGAAAAAAAATTAAAAAAACAGAGGGAAACAATGAAAGTATTTTACTGATGCTCATTTATTTTGATTTTAATGTAGAAAGCTCTTGAACTTCTAACCATGATGGAAGAAACATTCCTGGAGAAAGGAGTGAAGCCTCTTCCTAGGAGCCAACAAAAATGGTACAGAGAACATCAGTTGCTTGATGGTAAGTGTAGTGAACAATTACGTAGAAGTAAATGAGTCGGAGTGGCTTGCAGCTGGTGTAAAGGAAATTATCTTCCTTACCTAAATACACGACACGTAGCAGTGACATTTTGTTCCTTTGAAAATGGTATGAATCTCCTAACCTCCACCCAGTTATTTGGGAAATGTATGATTCTAAAATGTTGGCTTTTATACAGCTTAGCATGGTTCAACCAATCCATGTGCTGATTGGTTGAACTAGAGGATGACTTTTGACTGAAAATGAAGCCAAGAATGCTGATTAGTAAGTCAGCTGTGGTTTTGGCATAATAAAAAGGGTTGAAGCTGTGAGAAGGGGGTGATGATTTTTACATTGGCAATGGTGTGCATGAGAATGGTGTCTTGAGAAGGAGCATTCAGTGTTGTACAAATGGCGTCGGAGGAACAGAACCCTCATTTAACTGCACAGAACATTTATTACTATTGTAACAGGAGACTGTGGTTGAGTCAAGTTCTTTAATTGGCTGGAGATGAAATTTGGACTTTGACTGAAGGGTGCACAGTATGTATGGACTTAGAGCTCGAGCTCTGATTGGTAATAGTAATATTTACCATTAATAATCAGAACTTTATACATATTGTTTCCCTACATAAAACATTTGGCATTCATTCACAGAGCAGTCAGTACAGTTTTTGGTTGAAATTTATAAAATCTTTCTCTCAACAATTTTTTTTTTTTTTTTTTTTTTTTTTTTTAAGGAAAATGGGTTTTTAAAGATCAGTATCTGTTATTGCCCTTTCCAGTATGGGTGGGGGTTTTCTTCCTAATCTTTTATTTGAAGTAGTGTGAAATGTCAACATCTTGATTATGTCATTATTTTCTCTTTGAGTTATATGTGCTATCCATTTTAGTTGTTGCTGCTGTTGGTAATCCTCAATTGAAGGTATGAATCTATCTCTTCCCCCCCATCAGCTTTAGGTTAATTAGTAAGATTTCTATTACTAAACCATTATCTCAAAAGAAAAACATTGTTACTATCTAAAGATATTTTCTAGCTTTAAATAGCCTGCAAAGTGTTGATAGGGAGGCATGGTGGAGTAATGGATAGCGGCTCCGATTGAGGAATTGGAGAGACGAGTTCGAATTCCAGTCGAATCCATTACTTTTGCTTATGTGCTAATACCCTTGGGAAAGGTATGAATACTTTTCTTCTCCCCCAAGCTATGGGTAATTAGCAGGACAGATGGGTTCTATAGCCTTGGATGGCAACTGGTCTACAGCAGAAAGAAATGGCAACCTACTAGGGGAAAAAAATCTGCCTAGTTAGTCATGTATCAAAAGATATATGATTGGCTAAGCGTGTATCATGCATGGCACATAACTGACTGAAAGTGTTGGTAAGCCATAGAAAATGATAAAAAAAAAATTCTTGGATTTCCATGTCACATTTGAATCCACCCCTTATTCCCCCAGCTATGTGTTAATTAGGTAAGAGTTGTATCACTAAAACAATTATCTCAAAAAAAAAAAGAAAAAAAAAAAAGCCTACAAAGTATTTAGATTTCGCCATTAAATAACCCATAGAAGTGTTGATATGCTGCTAAACAAAAACCACCAACCAACCTTTGATGACTTCTCTAAACAACTCTCTTCTCATCTGAATATCAGTGTATAGCTGTCAACATAAACAAGCAGCATCAGAACCCCGCTAAGGAACAGTCAGTCCCTCACCCAAATGGATTATTGATATAGACCTGTGCCTGGAAATGTTCCAAATTGTCCAGTCTTGTTGTCACTTGACTGAAAAACTTTTCATTCCTTTATTTTTTTGTTCCCTTTCAGTCAAGTGGGTACTGCTTGGAAAACCTGACTTCAAACACTTTATCTGTCAACCATAAAACAAACACTTGAGGTCACAATAAAAATTTCATGTCATCCCCTCTATGTAGGTGTTCAGATCATAGTATCACACAACATTTCTTTTTTTTTTTTTTTTTTTTTTTAATAATGTTTTTTTTTTCTCTGTAAAACATTTATTTTCAAATTGTTTGAAAAATTTTTTCTTTATTGTCAAGTTCTTACCTGTTTATTCTCCTGGATCTGACCACTTTGTCTTGTTTTCAGGTGATCATTACGTGTATAAGGTGACGCAAGATGTGTGGAACAGTTCATCAGTTGAAATTTATCTACAGACTGGAGTGCAAAGTACAGAGTCCAACATGGTGTTGGAACTCTTTTGCCAAGTGATCAAGGAAGTTTGCTTTACTGTATTGCGAACCCAGGAACAATTAGGTAGGGCTTCATTCAGATCTTTTTATCAGCATTGCTTGATTGGTTTAAAATTGGATATCAGACTTTTTACCCTTTGTTTTTCTACATAAATATGAAATAATAATAAGACAGCTATGAAAATGACGAGAATTTTACAAGTTTCTTTCAGGTTATAACTTTTGCCAAAAAGCACTCAATAAATAACTATAAAGCTATGATAGTCATTAAATCATTAGAAATTTGCAAAAATGACATATACTATGTGTATGTGTGTGTATGTACTGATTCCTTATGGAGTGTATGTGCATATGTGTGTGTATGCATGTACAAATGAGTTTACTAATTCCTCGTAGTAAGACATATGTATGGAGGGGGAATATACGCATGCATATATACACGCATGCTGACAGAAGCACACAAAAATGGAAACAGATCCAAGAACACATAGGGGTCAGTAAAACATTAAAAGATAAAATGCCGATAAATAATTCATCATTTCGCTTGGACCAACCTTAATTGTTTTATGACCCTTCGTGCAGAACTCTTCATTGTCAATTCAAGAAAGAAATTCGGATTACTAACACAAAAACAGAAAATGTCTCATATCGAGAATATTTAACATTGGAAAACAAGGAAAAAATTAATTATTTTTAATAATATGGGGAAATCTCCGCTTTTACCTGAAGATGGTCGTGAGACCAGAAACACGTGTAGTAAAATTATGGAAAACAAAGCATAATATTTTTTTTTCTAAATAAATCCACATTACAACCAAAATGTTTATGCACCTCTTTAACTTCTTTTTTTATACATACTTTTCTCTCGTTGGAACCACTACAACCTCTTTCTTTTATATTTATATATATATATATATATATATAATATATAGATAAAAAATCCCTTGGTATATAATCCAAGTGGGTCCTAATATAAAATATTAAAACTAGCCCACAAAAAAGAGCTCAATGTATTTATTATAACAGAACATATAAATTATACAACAGAGAAATCCCAAATTACTTCATGGGTATAGTCTATTTCAACCAATGCTGAGAATGTCTGTCTTATTCAACCCAGATGGATGGACTGTATTCGTGTTGGAATTAGAGATTCAAAATTTAATAAAGACAGCAGTTGAAAAATTGATACAGAGCCTATCTATATTGAAGCTTTGGCAGGATAGACTGTCTGAGTAGTGGTGTGTGTATGTATGTATAACAAAAAACATTTTAAAAAAATATATGGATAAAGAATTAAGTAATCTAAGAAAAGGTAGTTCTTAAGGCAGTGGCTAGTTATAAGATTGATATGGAGAAGACAAAATAGAGATAAGTCACTTGAACTTTTTTTCATTGAATAAACATGAAATCGATTGGAAAATAATTAAAGCTTTATATACATTATTTTTTCTTAACTGAGCGTTGGTCTTACTTAGCCAAATTCACAAGTGTGAGCTTTACTTTATGCTTATAACACTAATGAGTTAGAAATTTAAATTATTTACCATAAATTGGTTAGGGTGGAATTTTAGGCTCTTTTACAGTTTGGTTGTTGTACTTTTGTGGCGGGTTGGGGGGAGAGCATCTTTAATTCTTAGCCTTCATCTGTAGTACGAATAAATTCAAAGTACAAAGAGGGTTTTATTGCCAAATTTGAGAAAGATGAAATTTTACTTGATGATAAAGTTGTATCCCGTCCCCTAAAATCTGAACTTCACTGTATGCTTAAAAAAAAATCAGAGTTAAAATAAGCTTCCACTTTTTTTTCTTCCTCCCTCTCTCTCCCCTCTCTCCCCTCTCTCACCCTCTCTCCCCCTCTCTCCTCCCTCCCTCTCCCTCCCTCTCCCTCCCTCCCCCCCCCCCCTCTCCCTTTCTCTTCCCCTCTGTGTGTGACTACTTTCAATCAAAAGTAAAGGCTAGATCTGATAGATTAAATATTTACGGAAAAGTCCATTCCGTTTTTCTGTGCTCTTCTTATTTTACATACTATTAAAATTTAATTTCAGAATATTTTTTTTTTTTAATTACCTCTTGTACATACAAGGGGAAAATATTTTTTTAAAATTTCTACCAGTTGCTCCTGTTTTCACTCTTTTACTATGGATCTGTTTTTTTGCTCTTTCAGGCTATCTAGTCCACAGTGGAGTCCGCAGGTCTCGTGGCGTCCAAGGCATGATTCTCCTTGTCCAAACTGACCACTCAGCTGACCATGTTGAGGGCAGAATGGAAGCTTTCATACATTCCATTGGGGTAGGTTTATCTTCCCTAACCCTCATCCTTACCCTCCACCAGGCCAAGTCTATCCATTTTTATTTGTTTCTTTAAGCCACTAATTTCTTCAAATATATTGGCAGGCAAAACTTTTGGACCATCTTAGTAAATTAATTACTTTTGTTAATTTTACCCCTAATGCTGTATGATTGATTATAGTCTATTGAGGAGGAGGGACCAGACTGAACTCAACCAACCTCCGAAGACTCCAATGGCGGAATAGGCAATGATCTACAGTTTCATCAGCTGAACCAGCAGAAAAGGGCAGTGTCATTTGGGCTGGTGTAACCAACCTTGACCTTAGACCAAGCATCCAACAGCCTGATGCAACTAGATCTCGCCTGTCTCAATCCCTTTGAGCTTCGAGGCAGGTGCTACTGGTCAAGTGTGATCCACCAAAATAAAATTCATGCAAATAGCCTGACAAGGCTATCTTTGACTTCACTTTCTACCTTCATGAGTAGGCTTGGGCCTTCACAGCATTCACATACACATTTCTTTCTTTCATTTTTGGTCTGATGAAGCCTAGCAAGGGCAATTCACATAATCTAGTTTCAATGAAACGGTTTTTCATTTGCCATATTCTTCATATATATATATATATATATATATATATATATATATATATAAAAACCAAATAACTAGATATTAGCAACTCTATTTATGTTCGTTAGTGTGTATTCATAGATAAGTGAATAAATATTTACTCAATTTAATATAGGGTGTAAACAAAACAGTGCTCAATGTGGTTAACAGAGCTAAGAAGTGTGTATATATATATATATATATATATATATATATATATATATATATATACAGAAAACAAACAAAAATCTTAATATGCAATTATGCTGTATTAATGTTAATATAAAGTCAACGTCGGACGTTTCGGCCTATTTTAGACCATCATCAGGACATATTCATAAAACATAATTAACATTAGAACATATAAAATTCAACTTGAAAAAGACGATGGACATAAGAGCACAACTAATCCAAACAGATAACTGAAATTTTTATATAAGATCAGCGTTCCATTTAAATATGATCACGTCGTCGTCACGTGGGTGATGATGTGAAAACGTATTCGAAGACGATTTCAAAATATTAAAATATTAAACAAACTCGATTGAACTATTTTCTCATATAAACAGTTCATCAAGAAATCCCTTCTGTTGATATAGGAATACGCAGAGATCAATAGGTTCTTATATTTTCATACAAGCTTGAAGTCTTCCATGTTACAAAGTAAATCATTTGAAAAAGGGCTCTGGTGAAATAAATTATTATAATGGAACCTTAAAGTGGTCTGTTTTTCTTTAAAATATTAGCTCTGGATTTACACTGAGCTCTCAGGATTTCATCCTCCTTGGGATTACCCATATGGATTACCAAGTTTTTCATAACTTACATACCCAAGTATAGGATTGGTGTATGCGGAATAAATTCCAATAACCAAAAATACTATTCTTAAGAGTGCTCAATACAGAGTAGAGCAAATATAATTTATTCAAAGTGATTTTATAACATATTAGTTATAATTTTCACATAAATTAAATTTTATATATATATATATATATATATATATATATATATATATATATATATATATATATAAAACCTTAAACCAGAAATCTGAAGTTTGCTTACACATCCGAAAATTTTTTTAAGTTCATATGTTACTTATCTTTTTCTTTTAATTTTGCAACTATTGAATTAGCCAAATTTAACTATTCCAGTAATTTCTTTCCCCACACATTTCACCTGTGGAATTTCCTTCCTTGCCAAATACAATCTTCAAAAATGCAATGCCAATTGCCATTGTCTGTCTGAACCTGTTCTTTTATTGTCCTTTGTCCTCATTAAATTCTTTGCATTCTCTTCCACTCCCTGTAACCCCTTGTACCTTAGTGGCAATTTCACCTTGCTGGGAGGGGAAATAATTAAAAAAAAAAAAAAAAATGTCCAAATGTAGTTTCATTCTTCAGGCTGGAGTGTCGGGGAAATACAGTTCATCTTGGCGACTCAAGAGCTGAAGTCATTATTATTACCTCCCTTTACGGACTTATTATTACCTCCCTTGATAGGCTTAAGACTTGATCGTGTTGTTTTTTTTATTTCTTGAAGGAATACTTAAACAACCTAACTGAAGATGAAGTCCGGATGCATATTAAAGCCCTGGCAAGTAAACGATTGGAGGTGCCAAAAAAACTGACTACACAGAACTCCAAATATTGGGTGGAAATCACTTGTCAAATGTACAATTTTGATCGTGGTAAGTATATATATATTTTTATGTTCTTTTGGAGGTTAGATGATGTACAACTCTTTACACGGAATGACAGGTGATATAATAGATAGCTGCTTGGAACGAGAAATTGGAGAGCAGAGTTCGAATTTTGGTCACGTTTGCTGCATTCTCTTACATGCAAATACCTTTGGGATAGGTATGAATCCATCATTTCACCCTTCCTACCTCAGTATGGGTAAAATGGGTACTTGTATCTGGAAAAATCATAAGCTTATAAAAAAAAAAATTTAATACAATATTCACTGAAAAAAAAAATTCTTCCTATCCCCTAAAAAGGTTTTAGCTTTAAATAATGCATAAAGGGTTAAGCCATAAAAAAAAAATAAGTCAGCAATCTGTGCAGATGCTTCTGAATAAAATTGTCTGAAATTTTCTGGTACAGAGTAATTTCTTTTTGATTTCTTTCCATAGTAAAAAATGACGTATAGAAGGGAAGGGCTTATTTTTCCATGAGCAGGTAAATAAGTAAGAATAACACTAGTTAAATGTGTCAATATTAGACATAATGGTAAATTATGAAACCTCCTTCCTCTGTCCTGGAAAATTTAGAAAATGTCCTGGAAAATTTAGAAAATGTCCTGGAAAATGATTACATTAAGAGTGGGAACCCTGAAATTGGATAGCATCTGTTTATTAAATCTTTTTAATTTTTTTTTTTTTTTTTTTTCGTATTTCCTTGAAGTGGAAAAAGTTTAGTCGTGACATGTTTTGTCATCCAGGGCTTTTTTGGATGAAATAATTATTTTGGTACGACTATACATGTGCATGAATGAGGGAATTTTAGAAAATATATATCTCCGAATTCATTTAGTTTTTATTTTCTTTTTCTTTCCATCACTTTTGTTAGTAGGTATCTTACACTGAGATAATATATCTGCCAGGAATAGTGAAATGTAAGAGCCAGGGCACAAATTGACTGTAGATGACCTTGCGCTCAAGCCACTCCCTAGACCTTTACATAGTCATGAATTGTTTTCTCCTTTGATCAGAGTAGCGATTTTTTTTTTTTTTTTTTTTTTTTTTTTTTGGTCGGGCTTGTTTATTCAATCAATCAACATACTTCTGGTTACATTGGTGATGCTCTACTTATACATATCATGATACTGATTTACCTGGCCTAGTAGATCAATTAAACAAAGTCAACCATACAGTAGAATTTACATATGAAATAGAAGAACTCAATTCCTTACCTTTCTTAGTTATCAAGCTACACTGCATTAACAACAGTTTAAAACTCGATGTCCACCAGAAATCAACCAACAAAAACAAATAAATTTCTATTCTCATTATAGCAACAAAATAAATTCTAGTAGAATCATTGGATTCTTCCTAAGGGCACTAAAAATATACAACTTGGATTATTTGCACAAAGAGAAATACATTGAAAACACTTTCAAACTTTTCCAGTACCATAATTATTTTATATTCGATGAGAAACAAAAAGACCGTAAAATATTCCAAAACAAAGAACAGTTCCTCCTGAAAAATCCCAATGAATCAAAAAATATACAGGGTGTTTCAAAAAAAAATTGATATCATTTCGCAATCTAATAACTTTGTTAGATCTCCTTCAAATGACTTCAAATTTTAATAGCATCTTTATGTTTAATGTTTGTTTTATGTTTTTATGTCTTTCTTATTTGTATTTTTATGTTCTTTAATCTTTGTCTTTACGGGTATAAAAATGCTATTTACTAGAAGAGAAAAGGTGTTTTGTGTGTTCACATAATCCACATGCTTTTGAATTTCTCATTCAGATTTGGAAGAATAAATCTTATGATCTTCAACATTAATACTTTTTAATTTCATTTGCCTTTATCATGTACTTTCTGTGATATTTACACCTCAAAGGATATCAAATTTTTTGAAACACCCTGTATTTTCCTACCAACTACCTTTTATCACATCTAAACTCAACATAAAATTGTTACTACTACATCTAAAACAAAAAAAAAGACTTTGTCAATACTAAACAAAACAATAAGCTAAAACATAAGGGATGAATTTATTCCATCACCTGTTAATTATTGTCACAAAAAATGCATTGGTTGCCAATGTAATGAGACTGACCACAATTTTGACATAAAAATTGCTACTCTAATCAAAAGAAAAAATAATTAAGTACAATGTAAATATCTAGAGTGCCTTGATCGTAAAGTCATCTACAGTAAATTTGCACCCTGGCTCTTAGAACATTTCACCATTCCTGGCAGATTTTCGATTATCACAGTGTCGGATATCTACTAACAAAAGTGATGGAAAGAAAGACTCTGAATGAATTCTGCTAAACAAAAACAAAAAAAAAATTCTAAAATCCCCAGCCCCCCACCTCATTATGCACATGTGTAGTCATACCAACATAACGAATTTAGTCCAATTTTAAACTCTTGAAGGGTGAAACATGTCACAAGTAAACTTTTTCCACTTCGTCATACAATTTTCCCAGTATTGCTCTTGATATATATAAAAATATATATTGTTATCTCATACAGATACAAAAAAACTCAATCACCTTACATACACACACACACGCGCGTGTGTGTATGTAAGGTGATTGAGTTTTTTATTTGTTAATCTGATAGGTTTTTAGTACTTACACATTATATTTATTGGCTACTCATATTTGATTAGATGCTCTGTTTATTTATTAAGCAGTATATTTATTTATTTTTGTTTATCAGCCTGAAGATTTGAAAAATCTTATTAGAAAGATATATGCTCTCTAACCAAGTAAAGCTGAATAGTCCCTTGATCATAGATGCACTCTGTAGCTGAGAGGTCAAAGCACGCCAGATCTAATAACAGTTTACCCTAGGGAAACACAGGTTCAAATTTGGCCGGAAAGTGCTTATTTTTTTCTAATACAATTTCTCGAATATTCAGGCTGTAAAACTTGATAATCAAGCAGGAATTTTTATTGGTAAACTTGGACAGGAAAAAGTGTCAAAAGGATGTTTTTTTGGTTTTTTTTTTTAACTACCTTCACTCCTCGGCAATGTTTGTTTTTAAAAAGTTATGGTTAGAATAAAACCTAAACATATGATGAAAGTGGCTTTATACATTGTCCTTAAGAATTTATGACAAAGATATTAAATTATTGTATTTTAAAAAAACAAACATTGCCAAGGAGTGAAGGTAGTTAAAATAATGGTGGTGTCAAAGGGGAAAAATCTTCTTTTGACACTACATTTTTTGGGGGTGGGGCATGAATATCCAAGTTTGCTCCTTTTTATTTCTATCTGCATTAGTGGCACTTAACCTTTTTGGAGTGGAATTTTAAATTCAATTTTAACTAAAAGAAATTAGGCTTTAAATCAATTGAAAGTTTTATGATTCAGTGAAATAAGGATTTTTGATTTTCATTTGATTACAGTTAAAGAGATTTGGCTTTCTAACTTGTTCCAATAATTAGCTATTGTAAAATGTTTTAATGGTGTAATATTTATTAGGTGTTAATTGAAAACTATGCTAGACATTGGGGTACTTGGAACTCTGATAACCTTTGTTTAAATGAAATGATTTATTAAATCATACATTAAACTTGTGAATCCTAAAATTGTTATCTTTCAGATAATATTGAAGTTGCTTACATGAAGACACTGACAAAATCAGACTTGATAGATTTCTACAAAGTAAGTACATTACTATTCTTTTTTTTCATTAAACTTTATCCCTTTGTGACTTCATTTGCTGTACAAAAAGTTTAACCTGCCACTGAAGGTGACTGATTCTTGAACAATTGTGTTTGAATTTAATAGTTGTGTTGTTGTATCCTGCTATGGCAACAAAGAACAACTTTGAGTCAAATTAACAGTGAGGATACTGTAATTGAGAGGCCTTGAAAAAGAATGCAGTTGAAAGGAAAATAATATTAATAATGCCGAGTGCTAAAGGTTAGTTAGTTCACTTTGGTTGTTAAACAATGACTGTAATATTGATGTAATTTGGTAGTTGCATTGTACTGAAAAGCAAGAAGTCTTTGGTATTTTATGTTTAATACTTTCTGAATAGTAGACTAAACAAATAACATAGTATTCACTATTTTTTGTGATGCGAATGAACACTTGTTGTCACTTTTGAAGTAACAATGAATACTCGTTGTCACTTTTGAAATGCTTGTTGTAGTAGAGCCTTTGTAATCACAGTACACCATTGAACAGTACTAGTGTCAGACGCTTTCAAATAACACACACTAATAGTACTTATTGATAATACTTGCTCAGACAGTAATCTATATAGTGATCTGAATAGAGAAATAGTACAGTGAATCGAGTGGAGAATAGTAGTCCAAATAGAATAGAGATTAGACTAGAAATGACGATCTGTATAGTAATAGGAGATAGACTAGAAATGACGATCACTTAGATGTCGTGTGACTTCCTACTTATGTGTTTCCTCTGTTGTCACATGGTCTACTTAATAATGGGATTGCCTGTGTTTGCTCACTGGTGATCTATGTTCAAACTTAAGTGTTGTCAGCAAAATTTATTAACATTATTGAATAACTATGACTTCCACATCACCATAAAAAATTTACGAAGAAAAGTGTCACACACACATATATATATATATATATATATATATATATGAGAGACACACAAAATTTGTCACTTGGCTGATTGGGGTTATGTTCAGAAACTCTTATTTAGATTTTTGTAGATGAACCTTTGTGTAATCATTCAGTCCACTCATCAGGAGATATCAGCAAATATCTGTCAATTTTCTCTTTTCCATTATTTTTATATTAAGTTAAAAACAAAATAATTTGTGCTTTTTTTTTTTTTATATTGGTGTCAGGTTGATTTTTCTTTGTGGGCATGTGTATTCCTTCAACACACACACGAGTCTGTTTGTGTGTGTATATATATATATATATATATATAAGTTTTCAAACACTTTTGCGAATAATACTTGATTGTGATTTGACTAAATAACTCTATAAATGTTCCCCCTTATGATTAAAGACTTACATTTTAAATTTAGCAATGATTCAAAAACATTTTTTAAAATTATTTAAAAAAAAAAAAGTAGGGAGTAGGGTAACCTATAATTGTTGCAATTTCTAGGCATTGTTGATCTTTAATCACAATTTTTTTTTTTTTAAATTGTAAATTTCAGACAACATAATCTGAGTGGTAAAATGATTTTGGTAGAAAATGTATGATATCTGGAAAAATCATGTAAATTTTCTTTTATACTTCATTGATTTTATAAAATTATGAATAAAAATGTTTTCATACTTTTTGTTTTTTTATAAAATGATAAATCTTTATGAAATAGTAAATAATAAATATCGCATTGTACATGGTCCACATATTTTACATAATCTTGTAAATAAACATTGCTGAGGGAGTCTTCACAATATATAGTATTAGGTGTCAATTCTTACTTTTTTTTCTTTTTTTTTTCTTTTTTCTTTTTTCTTTTTCTTTTTTTTTTTTTTTTTTTTCTTTTTTTTTTTTTTTCTTTTTTCTTTCTTTTTTTTCTTTTTTTCTTTTTTCTTTCTTTCTTTCTTTCTTTCTTTCTTTCTTTTTCTTTTTTTCTTTCAATTTCTTTTCTTTCTTTCTTTCTTTTCTTTCTTTCTTTCTTTCTTTCTTTCTTTCTTTCTTTCTTTTTTCTTTCTTTCTTTTCTTTCTTTCTTTTTCTTTCTTTTCTTTCTTTCTTTTTTCTTTCTGTCTTTCTTTCTTTCTTTCTTTCTTTTCTTTTCTTTCTTTCTTTCTTTTTTCTTTCTTTTCTTTCTTTCTTTTCTTTTTTCTTTCTTTCTTTTTTCTTTCTTTCTTTCTTTCTTTCTTTCTTTCTTTCTTTCTTTCTTTCTTTCTTTTCTTTCTTTCTTTTCTTTTTCTTTTTTTCTTTCTTTCTTTTTTTCTTTTTTTTCTTTTTTTTCAAAACAAACCTAGAATTAGTCAAAAAAAATATTAAAATAGATCATCTAATTATTTCCCCTTAAAGTGATGCTTTTGAAACTTAATTCTGCCTTCTGACTTTTCAAATAATTTCTTTGCAGGAAAATGTTTCTTATGATGGTAAACATAGGCACAAGATTTCTGTGCATGTTGTGCCCTCTGGCATAGTACCGAAAATTGGAGAAATGTTAACTCCATCTCCAGATGGAATGACACCAATTCCGCCATTGGAAGAGGTGAGTGGTAAAATCTAGTAAATTACGCATACATTTTTAAATCGATAAGTTTGAAGTTCTTTTAAAGATTGGAATAATCAAGACACGAAATGGCTTCCTTAAAGAGAGAAAAATAAATGAATTGATAATGAAGCTTTTTATTTCCTCTTGGAATGATTTCTAGAGATGTATGAAATATCCTGTAAGACAGGAAATGTGATCACTTTGTAAAAGTTAAAATTTGCAAACCAGCAGCATCTTAGAAAAGAATATTCTTACATCAGCATGGAAGCAAAGATATTCTTATTTTTCTCATGCCTTCTCTTTGCCATGCCCACATTTATTTCATGAATTTTGCAATGAATGGGATCACCAAAAATTCCTTGTGCTAATTTCAGAAAGCATAGATCAACATTGTTTAGAGGACAAGAAGTGTTGCAGACATATTTGTGGGCTGGGTCAGAGATTTCTAAACAGATGTCTCGCTGATAATCCTATTGAACAAAATTTTTCATTGGATTATATTTTTTATATATACATTTTGAATTATATATTTGATTAGACAATCAAAATTTAATGTACATGATATTTTTAAATGTGTAGATGTTGAAAAAAAAAAAATTTCACGTCCTGCCTGACTGTTGAAATAGTGAAAAGAAATGTATGACTTAGTTTTTAATATAAAACTGAGTTCTCATTTGGTAACCAAAATACATCAAACTTATATATATTATTAAAGTATGCTATATTTATGGGTGAAAGAGATGGATACCAGGAATAGAATGTATGTAAATATAAAATTAGACACTAAGGTCAACACTGCATTGTGACAATCTGTTTCATGCTTGAATGCAATCTTCAGGCCATGTGTGTGACTATATAGTCAAGATATAGTTGAGCCAATATACAATACACATGGCCTGAAGATTGTATTCAAGCATGGAACAAACTCATCACTCTGTTTACCTCAGTGTCTATACTTTTATCTTTATATATTCTCTATCTCTGATATTGACGACTTTTACCCATAAATATCACATACTTTAAAACTATATTTTTATCATATATAATTTTACTAAGCCTAACTTAGGCACAAAACTTAAATGAGTAAAAAAAAAACTGTTATATAACTATTTTATTGTGATCAGAGAGGCTGACATCAAAGAAAACTGACATTAAAAAAAAAAAAAAAAAAAAAAAACCCAAAAAACTGACATTAGTAAGAAAACATGCAATTAAATTGTTAATCTGCCCTTGGTGTTTTAAATCTTTTTTTTCTTTAAGCTTTTATTTCAAGGCAATCCCGCTTTGGTTTCGACTTTGCTTGCATCCATTTTCCAGTATAATATTGATTACTTCCCTTGTTCCATTTTGACAAGTGTATAGGAAAGTTTTAAAAACTCTTATCTACAAAGGCTGATCAAAAAGTATGGGGACCGGTTGTATGAAAAGAAAACTATAACATATATTGATTCAGCATTCAATCTCCTTTGAAGTAGTCCACTTCTGAAGCCACACACTTTATCCAGCATTATTTCTATTGAGAGAAGCATTTCCTGGGGCTCCATTTTTTGGGGGCTAGCAAGCAGCTGCCTCATTGCATTCTCTTGGATTTCCTTATTGTCTTGAAATCTTGTTTCTTTCAATTGGAATTTGATTTTTGAAGAGGAAACAGTTGCAAAGGGCAAGATCTGGTAAATATGGTGGTTGTCAAACCTGGGGCATGTGGCCTTGACCAAAAACTACTGCATGAGCTATAGTCACTGATGGAACCTCTATGTTGTAGTGAGATGACCACACTCTACAGACTTTTCTTCCAAGCACTGCTATAAACAACAGAAGTGAGCAAGAACATTATAACTTGGTGTATAGGCACAACAGAGGTTATGGTCAATATGTGCTAAGCGGATTCACTCTGCATACTTTAGTTCTGTTGCCATAGAAACAATCCCAATACTTTTTTATTATATATATATATATATATATATATATATATATATATATATGAAAATATAAAGAAAATATGAAGGAACTGGTTAGGTAAATAATCCAAATCCCTTAGTATTTCAGTTATTATTTTAAAAAAATAGTGCTCGATACAAAAGTAGAGCATAAATATAATTATTTATTTAAAAGTATGATTCCAAATTGCGACATAAGTCGTCCCATGTTTCAAAACAAGAGCCGAAAACTTCAATATAATTATTTAAATTATTTAAATTGAGTTAAAATAAGCTCTGTTCCATCTTCAAGCGAAATTTTTTTTGGAATAGCGTGTTTCTGAAATTTACGTGTTTTAAAAATTGAAATCAAAATTTCCATGGTAAAAGCTAGGCGAATTGTTTGTTGGGTAGGCAGGTGTTGGGTTTAATAATAAGTATCAGTATAGAGTTACTTTCTATAGATGTCAAGTCAGTGAAAGGCGGGGGTGTCTAAATATATATATATATATATATATATATATATATATATATATATATATATATATATATATATATATAAGGCTAATAGTCATGGTTGAAATAGGCCAGAAACGGTATAAAGTGCTGAAAAAAACTAAAATAAAAAAATAACATGATGTAGAGCTTTTAACTTTAAAAATAAAGTTAGATCAGTTGATTTTGCTACCTTGGTTTTAACCTTACAGTATCCTCGTAAATTCTTATCAATTGACCTCCCAATGCTTTACTTATTATTTAAAAGAAAAAAAACTAAAAAACAAATGTTTTATCTTTACAAATAAGCAAACAAATACACGACGGCTTTGTGTGTGATAGAAAGCTCAAGTAAATCATCAAGGGGACCTGTTTTGAAGGCATGGGTGCCATCAGGAGGGCCATGGAGCTGAGTGTCATCCAAGAAGAATCCTTCCAGTAGTGCATAGAAGAGTGGCAGAAAAGGATGGAAAACATGTATTAGGCTTAAGGGGATTTACTTTGAAGGGGAAACCATGTAGTTTGTTGTCTGGAATTTAAATAAATTGTTTGTGACACAATTCCTGTTACTTTTTAAACCGTATGTAGTAAATTAATAATTGCAATTAAAATTTATTTTTTTAATTTTCTCAAAAAATTTTCTCTTTTCAGGCTTCTGAAATAGCAGATGTTGTCCAGTTCAAACGTGGGCTTGCATTGTTCCCTTTGCCAAAACCTTTCATAGACTTTCAGACAGCAAAATCCAAGCTGTAAAGACGTTGCTGACAACAGAATGAACCCCCTATTCGGCCTTCCAGGACTGAAGCCCATGAACAGAAATGAGGAGGTTCAAGAGAGTGAAGTAGATAGGCTTTGGGATGGTGGAATTGATAATGTTTATTTTGTACATCTATCGTAGATGATGCATGTGTCAGGCCTTGTACTCTTGCCTTCATGGCTATTCATCCTTTAGCCTTTCTCTCTCTCACTCACACACACACACATAATAGTAACTGCAGACAGATTGTTAATTACGCTAATTAATCAGTTAAAATTTATTTCTTTGTTTAATATCTATTTTTATTTCTTTTTCAACTTTTGACCCTTACCTTTTTTTCTTTTGCATGTTTGAACTATTAAATTACAAAAAAATGAAAAAAAAATTTGCCCTGATTCATATTGTAAATATATTTTCATGAAAAAGAAAAGTTGATAACATCAGTAATATTTTGAGGTTTTTGCAAAAAGGAAAAAAGGTGCTGAAGGATATTAATAACTAAATTGTTTCTTGTCATATGAAGGTGTGTTTTTGTGTTGAAGATGAATAATTAGCATTTAGGATAATATCAAATTTTGTTTATATTTGTTCATCCATACTTTAGCTTGTCTGCTGAGACGCTGATAAATTTAAATGCCCTTTATTCAAATATGGATAAAGGAACCTGTATTGCTGAACAATGGCCACTGGTTCCACAGTATATATATATATATATATATATATATATATATATATAAAAAAATATGTTGTAGTGGTTCCAACGAGAGAAAAGTATGTATATTAAAAAGAAGAGGGTGCAAAACGTTTTTTGGTTGTAATGTGGATTTATTGAGAAAAAAATATTATACTTTGTTTTACATAATTTCACGACACGTGTTTCTGGTCTGGTCTCAAACTGCCTTCAGGTGAAAGTGGAGATTTTTACATATTATTAAAATAATTAATTTTTCTTCATGTTCAATGTGGAATATTCTCGATATGAGACATTCTGTTTATGTGTTGGCAATCCGAATTTTCAACAAAGTATAATATTTTTCTCAATAAATCCACATTACAACCAAAAACGTTTTGCACACCCCTCTTCTTTTTTATATATATATATATATATAGTACACAATAAAATAAAAATTATCTCATATGAGGTAATTTTGTGTGTGTATATATATATATATATATATATATATATATATATATATATATATATATATATGTACAATACTTTTGCAATTTATCTTAGGGGTCGAAAGTACTTGGGTAGGAAAAACTAAGATGCCTTCCTTGATGAATCTTCACATCAAGAAACTGATGAGAGAACTGGAAAGGACCAGTATAAAAATAGATAAAATATGTCTGTATTATTCAGTGAAACATATTTGAATGAAGATCTGCTGCATATCTGTTCATTTGACTAATAATGGGTAATTGAGTGAGAAAATAGGAGGATCGTTAATCCAGAGGAATGCATTTTATCTCTAGAAGGAACTTTTCAGATTAATGATGATTGAGTCAATCTTATATGTATGGGTTGTGTGTATATATATATATGTGTGTGTATATATATATATATATATATATATATATATACAT